AAGCTATAACAAAGTTTAAAATTTCTACGTTTTGTTTTTCATTTATTTTAACTGTTCTTTTATCTATTAAATTGTCGTATGTGGATGGGGAAGTTCTGTTTCTCCTCTTAGCATTTGTTTCTATAACCAGAAATAAAATTATATATTACAGAAATGAGCCTGGGGCTCTGTGTGGTCCTTATGAGTGGCTGCTGGGAGGGCAGACGGGTGGAGGGGCAGGCCCCTGGACACGTGGCCCCTCTGCGCTCCCTGGCACGGGGCACCTGACCTGAGGGGCCCTCACTGGGGAAGGTGTGCTTTCTCCTATGGCACTTGGGAGGTACCCATGATTTCCTGGCCTCACTGAGCCCCAGTGAGTTCCCCAAATCTGTGTTTGCAGCCCCAGGGACGAGAAGACCCCTCACATCTGGCCCTGGACGTGGAGGAGCCAGTGGTCCTTCAGCCCGCTCCTGGGCACTGACAGCAAGGATGCCACACTGCCCCCAGCTGCCTCCATGAGTGGGCCCATGCACCCACCAGAAGCAGACCCAGGACGGGCATGGGTCCCTCCTGCCGGCACTCAGCTCCATGAGACTTTCTGCCCCTTTGTGCACGTTGTCTCTTAGACCTCGCTTGTTCTGGGTACTGGGGGCAAAGTGGAAGGCAACATAGCAAATGTGGTCAGCCCGGACTCTGCAGTCAGACTTGGGTTCAAAGTCCAGCTGGGGCGGGGGCGGGGGGGCTTTCCCCTGCTAGGGGTTCCATTTCTTCACCTGCAGAATGGGCGCCCCTGCCCCGAAGTGTTCTGTGGATCACGTGGCCCACGGCACGTGAGCTGCGGTGAAATCGCAGGGCCCAATGGCTTTACAGTTACATTGTCATAAGAAGGGTGTGCCTCTGCCGCAGAAAGTCCCTGACCGGCTCTCATAGAAAAGTGCACTTCCCACCAACGCATTATTTTTTTTTTAGATTTTATTCATTTATTCATGAAAGACACAGAGAGAGGCAGAGGGAGAAGCAGGCTCCACGCAGGAAGCCCGATGCGGGACTCGATCCCGGGACTCGAGGATCATGGCCTGGGCCGAAGGCAGGCGCTCAACGGCTGAGCCCCCCGGGCATCCCGCCAGCAACACATCTTTTGTCAGGGTTCTCTACTGTTTGTCCCCATGACTCATCGCCTGTTGGAGCTAAATAACTGGTCTGTTCCAGATTCTACAGATGCCCACAGTCGCAGCTGGAGTTTGCATTCTTTCCTTCAGGCTACCCCACGGCCACTGTCAGATTCCAATGGTAAGCCTTATCGCAGTATTGACAGTACATTTTAGGATTTTAGCCAAATAAGAGAGAACATTAAGTCTCATGAGCTACCAGTGAAGCCAGTTAACATCTTTATGCAATGCGCAGCTTTTTAGGCTTGGGTTTTAATTAAGACAACTGTTTCTCACTAGTAAGACCACTAGTAAGATTGGGACACCTGGGCGGCTCGGTTGGTTGAGCTTCTGACTCTTGATCTCAAGTCAGGTTGTGATCTCAGGGTCGTCGGTTCAAACCCTTCGTTGGGCTCCATGTTGGGTGAGGAGCCCACTTAAAACATGAATGAATGAATGAATGAATGAATGAATGAATGAATGAATATTAAGAACTTAAGGTAACATTTTACACAACTGTGAATCTTGTAAGAAACCATCATGCATTATTAATCCCGGGAAGATGCTTGGGGTATGCATGAGCGAGGAGAGAGAGGATGGTCCCGGCACACAGCTAAGTTCCCAGTAGGACTGAAGCCACCGCATGAAGCTGGGTTTGTACTGAAGCATGGGGAGGACACACCCCCACCAAAGGCAGACTGCACTTTCCAGCAGGGTTCGTGGCTGCCAGAGGGGGAGACAAACCACGTACTCACCAGCAGCAGAACGGCCTAGCGGCAATAAGCTCCTACAGTCTGCTGCTCAGCAGAACACTGCAGTAAGGGCGGAGGGCTCTGATAGCCCCACCCGGGTGGTCCTCCCCGGTGTCGGGGGAAAGAGCCACAGAGGCGGCTTCATGCTGCAGGGTCCCGCGTGTATGAAGTGCAAACAGGCAGAGCTGACCCACGCTGAGAGAAGGAGGTGCCAGGAGCCAGTGGGGAGGTGGGAAGGGCCCACCCTGCTCTGCGCAGGGCCGCATGGGCTGGGGTCAGCTTGCCAGGGCTGCTTGCTACATTTCCAGAATTTGGGGAAGCCAGCTGCTAAAGCCAGTATTAAAATTGTAATTAGGGCAGCCTGGGTGGCCCAGCGGTTTAGCGCCACCTTCAGCCCAGGGCCTGATTCTGGAGACCCGGGATTGAGTCCCACATCCAGCTCCCTGCGTGGAGCCTGCTTCTCCTTCAGCCTGTGTCTCTGCCTCTCTCTGTGTGTCTCTCATGAGTGAATAGATAAATAAATCTTAAAAAAAAATGTAATTATATAAACTTCCAATTAAATAAATTACATGAAAAACAAAGGTAATGAGTACGCGGTTCATCCCTTACTACTATTGGACTCTAACTGAGCTCTCCGCCTGTTCCCATCCCTCCTGTCTGAACGAACGATTTCTCCTGGCGATTCAGTGACGTCACATTGGCAGCTTGAAATCTGCCGTCTGGGAGTGTTTACACATGGAAATCATCAAAAGCTCAGCCCCTCTGCCCCCCAGTGAGCCAGTGAAACATTTAGGAGCATACCACTGATTAATGGGAAAGATCCTGGAGTTCACTTGAAATCTGTATACTTCATATATGCTTTACCTTAATAAACATCTTTTTAGGCTATGAAACTAGTATTTGAACTCTTTCCAGGTCTCAGATTTCATAGGTCTCCATGCGGATTTGCTGTGCATGCCACAGCCCAGGTAAATCAGCCAACTCCCTGCAAAACCATGGGTCATTATCAAGCTACGGGCTGGCAGCTTCACACCCAACTTCCTGTGTGTCTGTGATGGGGGGGGCGGACAACATGGCTGGAGGAGATGCCAACCTCTGCTCTGCCAGCCTCTTCCTTCAGTACAAGGGACTGGAAGGCAGGAGGGCGCTTCCTGTCCCTGCCAACATCATCAAACGCTCTGACAAGGGTGGTCGACTGTAGTTAGTGTCTGCAGCACAGCCAGGGCTGGCCGCCTTGGGCCTCTCCTCCTAACTCTGGGCCCCCACTCCGCCAGTCTCCCCACTGCCTGCTCCCTTTCAGCTCTGCAGTACCTAGACGGCAGCCCCAGCAGCTCTTGGGACTTGACCTCCTCAGTGCTGCAGTCTCCTAAATGTCTTCCCACTGCTCTGGCCATTCCCCACTGGGCGAGGACAGGGCGGGGGGCGGGGCGGGAGGGGGGCAGTGCAGCTGCAAGTGCCAACCTGGGGTCCGGCTGCTGGCTCAGTGCACTTCTCCACTGACAGGTGTGTGACCTTGGCCACCTTAGCCTCAGTCCACTCATCCTTCAACTCAGCTCAGAGTCGTTCCACAGGTTCCACGAGGTCGCGTATGTGCAGTGCTGGGCAAGCAGCAGGACTTCCCTGAGAACCACCTGTAGCAGACTTCCCAGCTCAGCTCCGCTCCTTGTCACTCTGTGGCTCCCGCCTCTAACTCCTTGGGCCGGTTGCCCTCCATGCCTCCTGGGTGCCATCAGGGCATCTCAAAACCACCAAGTCCTGTTTTCAGGCAGGTGAGTACCTGGCTGGTCCTTTCGGCCCCATCTCCCACCTTAAGTGTCTCCTCACTGCTTATCCCTCTGACCTCCCTACCACCCCCCTGCCCACCACCCAATTGCCTGCGCTTCCTGGGCTTCATCTCCCTTTCCTGCCATTTCCCACTACTAGGCTGAGGTGTGTATTGCCTATTTGATCACTGTCAACTTGTTGATTGTAAATTCCACCTGGCCTCCCCTGCTCACTGTCCCCAGAACCTGAAACACTCCCTAGCACAGTGAGGGGACCCAGTCATTGCTGGCTCATTGACCGAATGACTCCCCCAACTTCTCTTCTGCCCCAGCGCCAAGGGAATGGCACCACCCAGAAAGCCAGAAACCCCATCTTGCCCGGTTCCTCCTCCTGTCTCCAAATACATCCCCGGGCCCTGCGAATCCTACCCCTGAATGGTTACTGTATCTGCCTACTTCCCATCCTCCCGGCTCTACCTAGCTCCAGCTCAGGCGACCTCCCTCCCTCTCTTCCCAGGGCCACCCCATGCACTGTCCATCCTGCTGCCAGACATCAGGACCCCCATGAGGTGCATTCAGCCCCGGGAAGCAGGCCCGCAGTGCCGCCTTCATACCTTTGCCCGCCCGCCCCCTCCCCCTCCCTAGATCTGACAGCCTGTGGGCCCCGCTTGGGCTCCCGTCCCTCCCGTCCCTCCCTCCCGAGCCGGCCTGCCGCGTTCAGCCCGTAACAGCATCGCCACGCACGCCTGTCACCGCCTGGGGGCGCACCCCGTCTCCAGGCGGTCGGCAGGCGGGCATCCTGTGGCCAACAACACATCTTTCGAAAGGGCTAGAAGTTGGCTTTCCCCCCTCTAAGCCTGTCGCCTCAGAGCCTGTGGTCAGCATGGGCAGCGAATAGGACTTTTAAAGGCAGCAGTACAGCCAAACTAAATACATGAGCGCTTCAAAGCAAAAGAAAACAAAACGCCACGAAGAGGTTCAGCTGTTCCCGCAAACTGCCAGACACGGGTGCAGCCCACGCCACAGGGCTCGGGTCCTGTATTCAAGTCGTACCGAGCAGAGGAGCTGCACACAGCAGTGCGGGTCTACGGCCAGGAGACAACCTAGAAGCGGGGCAGTGGCCCCGGGGCTGGTGACGAACCGTCTCCTAATAGCACCCGGGGGCCCAAAGTCCATGGGGACGCCTGGGGTCCCGGGGTGCCGAGGCTCCGGGGCCCGCGGCCAAGCAGGGCGACCCGCAGCGCCGACGGCCCCGCCCCCGACTGCCGGGCTCCGCCACAGCCCATTGGCCGGCGGCCTGTCCGCCCCGCCCACGTGACGCGGCACGTGACGCGCCCCGGAAGCGGCGGGGCGGCGGCTCCGGGCGGCGGCGGCGGCATGTTTACGGCGGGGGCCGAGGGTCTGCTGCACCAGGCCAGGTGGCCCGGGTCCCCTTGAGGCCCCGGGCGGGGGCGGGGGCGGGGGCCTCACGGAGGGGGGTCCGCGTGCGGCGGAGCCCCGGGGGCGGGGGCGGGGGGCGGGGATCGCTCTCCTGCGCGTGCGTTAGGTCGGGTGGGAAGTCGCCGTCCGGCCCGGCCCGGCCCGGCCGCAGCCCGCTCTGGACTCCCACTGCCCGGTCGGCAGCCCCTGTCCTCCTCAGTAGCTCTCCAATGAGCCACTGGGCCATGGCTAGGTAGAGCCGGGAGGATGGGAAGTAGGCAGATACAGTGACCATTCAGGGGTAGGATTCGCAGGGCCCGGGGATGTATTTGGAGACAGGAGGAGGAACCGGGCAAGATGGGGTTTCTGGCTTTCTGGGTGGTGCCATTCCCTTGGCGCTGGGGCAGAAGAGAAGTTGGGGGAGTCACTCGGTCAGTGAGCCGCTGAGGAGAGCTACTTGCTTCCACCCGTGGGAGAAAGCCAGGCGGAGGCTCGCCCCTCCCCGCCCGTCCATCAGACAGGGTAAGACCTGGTGCCACTTGTGTAGAAGAAGAAGCAGTCAGAACCACGAGCCCAGGGCAGACTGGACCTGCACCTGGAACAATTGATGGGGAAAGACCGGGATGGTTGTGGCTGCTGTGACTCCGTGGAATCGAGATCTCGGATGCAGATTAGGTTCTGAAGGCGGTGAACGGCGCAGAAATCTTCTGCAGTCAACATGACCCTTGAAAAACCTGCTGGGAGAGCGCCTCATGGATTCGGAGCACCACCTGTCTCTCCTTCACCGCGGGACAGAGATCCCAGCGTTCAAGCTCCAGTATTACAACTCAGGCTCATAAGAATTTAGGGGTTGTGTTAAGTGAAAATAGGTATCTTTAAATACCAGCAGCATCTCACTCACCGCTCAACATGCCCACCCCCGTGTTCTTGCCAAGAGACCCACGGAAACCGACACCCGCCCAGAACGCCACGCCACGTCACGGGGCTTACCCCTCTACAGCTCACCTTCTCCGGGCCACACGTCTGCGGAATCAAAGGCGGAATGAATGACCCCTCGCCATCTAAATTCCTGTGCCTCCCTCTGTCTCGGGTGGGCGAGTGGGCAGATTGAGGGTAGCGTATAGGGTCCCACATCCACGTAACTTGTGTAATTTCGCCCTTTTAGGGCTTGAGGGAAGCCGATCACCCTCAGGACAGAATACTGTGAAAACCAGTAAGACCTAACAGCCTGCCATGGGGGGGGGGGTACTCTAGAACAATCTGCTAATGTTCCAGAATTAGGATTTGGGAGTGAATTTTAGTGTCTGAACATTCTGGAGATGAAAGCAAGGATGGAGAAAGCCATCAGAAGCATCTTTTGTGAGCTGAAGACTAACTGAAGGAAGTGGGACTTGGAGAAGGGGTGGACAGGGGTGTGTAGCAAATCAGGGGAGGTTTCCAGAAGCCCAAGACTGCTGATTGGAGGCTCTGTGTGGGAGATAACCGGGGAGGGAGAGGTAGGGCCGAGAGCAAGAGAAACAGGACCGGTGGTTCTGAGAAGTAAGGAGGGCCCAGGACCCTGCAAGCATTGTTAGTGTCCATAGGAGTTTGGGTCCAAAGGCAAACTATTAAAAGGATTGAGCAGATTGGCCTTTTAGAAAGAATGCCACAATTTAGAGAATGTACTGGAAGGGATTCACTGGGATGGGAGGTACCATCATTCTAGGAAAGAGTCTTTTCGTGTTATTTTGAGGCAGCCTGGTGGCCCCCCGCTCAGTATCAGCAGCCCGGTGAGGAACAGACCTGATGACCAGGCCTCCTGTCTTTGTGTCCTCATCCCATTGTGTCTATTGCGTTTGTAAGTCACCGGGTCCAACTGTGGCTGTGTCAAGTACCAGGAAAATGAAAATGGGATAGGAGGTGGGAAGGACACCAGAAGTAGTGGGGGATTCATTGAGGTTTATCTGCCAGCCTTCAAGTGAGAACAAGAAATGGAAGAAGCAAGCCCCAGGTGCTGGTCAGCCCGAGGCTGGAGCTCCCTGTCTGTCTGGGTTCAAAATTCTGGGTAACTGAGCTCGAGTGTCTGATTGGTCCAGTCTGGGTTTAGTGGATCTCAGCTGTGGCTAGAGGGGTGAGGGGACCCTCCGAGAGCCCCCCTAGAAGTCCCTAATACCGTGTCTCCTGGGCTGATTGTCTCGTCTTGCCTTTGGGCTGGAACAGAAGCCTAAAAACCCAGGTTTCCATTTTGAGACTGTTGGATATCTTACCTGTTGATGCTCAATAGATGCATTTTAACTAAACGGTAAATGTTACGATAAGGTAACATTTTAACTAAACGGTAAGTAATTATGTTACTTATTGTTTGGTATAAATATTTATATTTGGTATAAATATTTACAAATATAAGGGCAAACAATATTTGCCTTTTAATATAGCTGATTTCACTCTTGTTCCCAGAAGCAAAAGGCTCATGGAAGGAATCTTTTGAAAAGCAACTTATTTAGGACCAAAATGCCCTTCATTCTGACTCTTAAAATCAATGAGTTTTAGTTCTTCCACTCTGGCAACAACAAAAATCTGCAGGTGTGGTGTCTCCGTACCGGGGTCCCCTATAACTGTTGGAGTGGGGGTCTCCCGCCTGGCAGCGGGGACAGTGAACGGGCGATGGCCGGGTGCCATTCATGGAGGGGCCCGGTGAGGTAACCAGCCAGCGACTGTCCCCGAGAGGAGCTGCGGGGGCTGGACTCACTTTCCCACAGGACACCCAGGCTTCTGTGCTCCGTGGCGTGGGGGTTTTCTGCAGTCCCAGAGCCACTGTGTCATAGCTCAGGGCCGCGCTTCCGGTTCCCCTGACTGGGTGCCCCCACACCAGGTTGCCAATGCCCCGCTCTTTGTCTAGAGGGATCCAGGATGAGGAGCTGCAGAAATTTTGTTCCCGGGTCGTTAAGCTGCTGCAGAAGGAGGAACTGGGTCCCGACGCTGTAGATGCCTTGCAGAGGCTCTTCCTCATCGTCTCAGCCACGAAATACAAGAGGAAGTAAGTGTGATGATCTTGGGGGATGCAGGCCCCGGCCAGGCTCCCAGCACGTGAGGCTGCGGTGGGTGCCTGTCCGCACCTGGCAGGTTAGCACACACGTGTGTCGGGCCCTGGTATCTTCTGTCCTCAGAAAGCTGCACCAATGGCCCTCAGATACAGAAAGCTCTTCGGCCCCCGGGGGCTTCTGGGAGTGGGTGCTCCTTCAGTGAGGTGCCACCCACCCACACAGCCTTGTCCTCCCAGGCTGGAGAAGACCTGCGTGGACCTGCTACAGACCACACTCTGCGCGCCCAAGTGCCCCGAGCAGCTCCAGCTTCTCTGCACTGCCATCCTGAGAGAGAGGTCACCCTCTGATGACCTGAACCTGTCCTGTGACCACGTCCAGAACAGCCGGCAGCTGAGCCTGGTGGCCTCTGTGCTCTTGGCCCAGGTGAGGTGACGATCGCTGCTCAGATGGGCTGTCCTGTTCTTGGTGGGCTCTGGGGTGCCAGTGCACGGTCCCTGTGCAGACACGGACCTGCCACATGCGCAGGCTTGGCTTGACCTCGCCTCCCCTTCCATTCCACTGTGTTTGTGGGTGCTGCTAGCGTGCCAGTACACCCTGCACCCGGATGCTTCTGGAAGGAGAAGTACCAGCCTCCCCTGACCCCTCCTGGTCTGCCCCCATTGTTCCTGGGGAGGTGGCCGGGCTCCGCAAAGGCTAATTCAGACTGCTCTGGGGACACTCCTGGACGTAAGAGGTAGCATCATGGAAACAGTGATGCTTGTAGAGACGCAGCCTATAGCCCCATCCCAGATGTGTTCAGACCAGATGACCTGTCATTCACCCACTCAGGCAGGTCACCACTTCATGATCCCCCCATGTTGCACTTGAAGGGTGACAAAAAGGAAGAGGTCAGAAGCGTGGGCCAGCGCGCCTTCAGAGTCCTTGAGAGCCGGCAGCCCGAGGGGCCCAGTCTGAGGCACCTGCTCCCAGTTGTGTCCAAGGTCACCCACCTGGCCCCGCACACCCTCCATGAAGGTAGTCGCCTGTTTTTCCCTAGGGGAGGGATGGTGGAGAGGTGGTGGGGGAGGCCTGAGGACCCAGCACTGTCTAGTGCTCATTGTCTAGAAGGACCTGCTCATGCCCTGTGGTGCAAGTCTGCGGGGTTGACTGTTTCCCACACGTTGCCCTGCCTCTCTCCATCCGTAGACCAGACCAACCTGCTTAGCAAGAGGCTGGTGGACTGGCTTCGCTATGCGAGCGTCCAGCAAGGGGTCCCACACACTTCTGGAGGCTTCTTCTCTGCACCCAGAGCCCGGCAGGTGAGCCTGGAGACTCAGAACCTCCATGTCCTGGGGCTTCCCTCTCTGTCCTGCCCAGCATTGCCCCAGGGTCCCTTCAGCTCCCCCTGTCCTTCCACCTGCCCTGATTCCAGAATGATCCCTCCCCACTTGTGTGGGTAGGCTCTGGGTCCCCAGGGTCGAGCCCCCAGCCTGTGATGTGTGCCAATCCCACTGGCAAGGGTCACTTACCTGATAGAGGACCGTGTCAGCTCAGGTGCCAGCATTTATATGTCTCATGGGGGCCCCTCAGTCCACAAGAGTGTGAGGGCAGAGCCAGGCATGCAGCCTCCCCTCTGCCCTCCCTGGTACCTGTGAGCCCGTTGGCGCCCCCTGGCCTTGGACCCCAGCACCTCCCTGGCCCCCAGCACCTCCCTGGCCCAGGTCCCCCACGGCCCACCCTTCCTTCCTTACCTCCTGCAGCCAGGCCCTGTCACCGAGGTAGATGGAGCGGTGGCCACAGATTTCTTCACTGTGCTGTCCACGGGCCAGCACTTCACAGAGGACCAGTGGCTGAACGTGCAGGCCTTCTCCATGCTCCGGGCATGGCTGCTACACAGCAGCCCCCGGGGCCCCAGCAGCCCCGACACAGGTGAGACGCGGGGGAGGGGAGCAGGAGGGAGGCAGGACCAGGTGTGCCCTGGGGGAACGCTGGCAGCCCTGGCTGAGCCTCATTGGCACCGGGAGGCCCTTCCCCATCATGCAGGAGAAGCCGGGGTGATCACTGAGGGCAGACATCAACAAGGGTGTCAGAGAGCTTCACCAAAGCCCTTCTCTGCAGTGGTGTAGACAGGTGGACTTTCCAGGGGAGGTGGGATGCCTGTACTCCATGGGGCGTCTGGTGAAGGTGATGGTGGGGCCAGCGGGGCAAGGCCTGGGTGGCCTGCCGCAGGGGCTCCCTTCACGCCCCTGGATGGGCCAGGCCGAGTGCCCTCCGAGTGCCCCCCTCTCTTCCAGACGACAAGTCGGAGCTGGAGGGCTCCACCCTGTCTGTGCTGTCGGCCACCTCCACCGCCAGCCACCTGCTGCCGCCCCAGGAGCGGCTGAGGGAGAAGGCCTTCGAGTACTGCCAGCGCCTCATCGAGCAGAGCACACGGCGTGAGTCCTGCTGTCATGCTCCACCCCGAGGGCGCCGGAGCCTGGGCAGCCTCTTTGTCCCAGCGGGGCCTTTGGCTTCCAGGCCTAAGCCCCTGGGATCTGGGCAACGGGCAGGACCTGTCCCCAGCCCACCAGCTTCTGGCCCAGCCTCCTGTCCCCCTGGGGTGGGGGCGCCCTCTGCTGGTCTGCTCCCTGCCACCATGTCCTCCTGGAGCTTCCAGAACAGGGTGTGTCCTGCTCACTGTTTGATGGTGACCAGAGACCAGGTGACTTTCTTCCTCCCCCAGGAGCCCTGCGGAAGGCGGACTCGGACCTGCAGAAAGCCGTAGGTGCCGGGCGGGCCGGGCGGGGTGGGCCTCACCCCCGTGGCTCTGTCCGAGCCCAGCCTCCGTGCCTGCCCCACAGTGCCTGGTGGAGGCTGTGCTGCTGCTGGACGTGCTCTGTCGGCAGGACCCGTCCTTCCTGTACCGCACACTGTCCTGCCTGAAGGCCCTGCACGCGCGGCTGTGCGGGGACCCGGCCCGGGTGCGGGCGCTGCTGCCCATCGCGCAGTTCTTCCTGAACCATGGTGAGCCCCCGTCTCACGCGCCGTCTCTCAGGGTCCAGACACTGTTCTGGTTCGAGGTGAAGCACAGCCTCCCTGTTCCTGTTTGTTGCTCCTCTTCCTTTGTTCGTGGAGCCACGTCGTTTTAATGGACTGTTAGCACCAAACAGGGTGGTGTTTAAATGGGTCATGTAGTGGATTGAACTGTGGCAGCTTCACACTGATCTTAGAACTCTTTGCCACGAGAGTGCACGCGAGTTTTGTGGAAGGTGCCATGAATCCAGCACGTTCCAAAGAAGGTTCCACACTGTGTGACTCAAGGATTGGTTTGTCACCAGAGACTCCCAGGGAGAGCAGGCTGTGGCGTGGCCAGTTTTCCCTGTGGAGGAAGGACACCTGGGGCGCCTGGTGTCCAGGACTCCGAGAGCCCCTAGCCAGCCGTCCTCACAAGGAGGTAGGGACGTTCTGCTGGGGTCCTGACACCACCGCTGCCTTTCAGGGGAGGCGGCCGCCGTGGACTCAGAAGCCATCCTCCAACACCTGTTCACCAGGATCCCCTGCGAGCTCTTCCACAGCCCCATGCTGGCTTTCGAGTTTGTCTGCTTCTGCAGGGACAGCCTTCCGGTGTTTGGCAGGAACCTTGACATTCTCAGACGGAGCTTCCCCAACCTCTTCAAGGCATGCTCCGGTGTGCTCAGGCCAGAGTGGGTGGCCCGGCGGGGTGGGGATGCAGCGCCCCTCTCCCTGCTCCTCCCTCCCGGGAGGTGGCCTAAGCTGCAGGCAGAGGGCCCAGGGACCACCAGGGAGTGGGGGTGGGGGGTGCTTCTGTGCATCACACCCTGGGGAGCTCCCTGCTGGGCCCAAACTGCAGTTTATTCTAGAACTTGCCCTGTAGGCTCCTCTCATCCAGGAGCCTTGCCTGCTGGGCTCAGCCCTCCGTGCTGCTGACTTTTGATGTGTGTCTGTGACTGGCTATAGTCACTGTGTGGGCTTTGCTAATTCAGCTGGAGCCTCAGTCCTTTTGTTAGAGAAAAAACAGTGATGAATGCAAATCATCATTGCTACGAAGCGAACACAGGGCAGGGGGTTTTACAGATTACAGTGGCCCAGGGGCCATGGGTGGGACCAAGGGGCTCTCATGGGCCCTCCCGGCTCCCACCAAGCATAGCTCGTCCCCGCAGCTCCTGGCCTGGAACAGCCCAGCCCTCACCTCGGAGTTCGTGGCACTCTTGCCATCACTGGTGGACTCGGGCACGGCCGTGGAAATGCTCCATGCGCTGCTGGACCTGCCCTGTCTCACTGCGGCCTTGGACCTGCAGCTCAGGTGAGCCCCGACGGTGACAACTGTCCTGGGTCCCCTCCCCATCCTCTGCTGTTCGTGAGCTGCCCCAACGAGAGCACCCATACCCTGGGCCTTGGAGCCTCTGGCAGGTCTCACACAGAGGTAGAACCCCACCCTGCAGGTACTGGGTCCCAGGCCCCTTCCGGTCCATCCCTCTGAGGCTCACCGCTGGCTCAGGGTGCTGTGATGGCACAGTGATGACTGCTCTGTCTCTCCTGAGGGCTGGAGTCAAATCTCTCCACCCCGGAGCCCGGCCTTAGGCATCTGCTTGCTCGCAGGCTGTCACCAGCTGCAGCCGAAAGACCGCTGTGGGATGTCTCCCTCAGGAACCCTAGCTGCCTGGAGGCCTCCCGGGACCCACAGTTCCAGGGTCTCCTCCAGCACCTGCTGCGTGCCACGGCCAGTGGAACCACGGAGAGGTAGGGGCCACTTGGGCCGGGGGGGCCCTGGTTGGAGGGGGGGGTGCCTGCGGCTGAGCAGCCCCAGCCCCCTGGGCCCAGGTAGGACAGGAGAGCACCCTGAAGCCTTGGGACAGGGCTATATGTGTGGCCAGAGCCCATTCCCAGTGTGGGTGAGACTTGTCTGGGGACATCTGCCCCCCGGCCTTGTGCCTTCTGGCCCAAAGGGGCCTCTGCGGTCGCCCCCCACCCTTGGCAGGCACCACCCATGCTGTGGGTGCTCACTGGACTCAGGCCTCCCACTCAGTTCTTTACCAGCTCCCTGATGTGGTCCACACAACCCTGCAAGATAGGCACTGTGGTGACTCCATCCTGCAGCTAGAGAAACCAAGGGGTAGCACTCCCCAGGAGCGGGAGGGCCAGGACTGGAACAAGGCATCCCGACTGCAGACCCCGTGTGAGCCGTCTCCATGTCCTGTGGGAGCAGTGGCCAGTGGCTGATGACGGGAGCAAGGCTCTAGCAGGAGGCAGCAGGCATGGTGACAGGGTGGCCTTGTCCCAGGAGGGCAGTGCAGGCGGGTTCAGAACTGGGTCCATGCCATGGCACCATGACCCCGTCCTTTCTCCCCTCAGGCACCAGCCAACTGTGGATGCGTGGAGAGCGCACCCATGGGCCCCGGGGAGCAGGTGGGCAGGTGCTCAGGGGGATGCGCCGTGTGCCCTGCAGGTTGGCGCCGCTCCACCAGCTGCTGCAGCCCCTGGCCAGCCTCACCCGGGTGGTGCAGTGCGCCGAGGCCGTGCCCACCCTGCTCCAGGCCTTCTTCTCAGCTGTGACCCAGGTGAGCCCACTTCCGGGATCCTCCAGTCCCACGCCAAGGGGCTGGCCGTGGACCTTTGCAAAGCCTGTGTCCTTGATCGAAGAGCCCGCTGCCGATCAGCGAGAGGCACCGGGAAGGGGCCTGAGTATATATCTCCCTCTTCACCCCAGTTTGCTGATGGGGCCTTGAGCAACCAGCTGGCACTGCTGCTCCTGGAGAGAAGCGACTCCCTTTACCAGGTCCCCCAGTATGAGGCCCATGTGCACAGGTGGGTGCATCACCGCCTCCCCAACCCTGCTGCCCCCACCCTGGCCTCCCGCTCAGCCTGCTGCAGCTTTGAGTCCCCACGTCCCCTAGGCTACACCTCCTTCCTGCTCTCTGTGGCACATCTCCTGTCCTCCAGCATCACCCCTGGGCCAAGCTGCTGCTCATTTCCTCTGTCCCCAGTCCAGATGGGCCCCGTGTGCATCCCTCCTGCCCCAGCTCTGTAACCTCCAGTATGGCCCAAGTCCCTCCCTGAGGAGCCTTCCAGACCATCCGTCCCCCTTCCAGAAGGCCTTATCCACACAGGCTTGTGCCCACGCCACTCGCCAGCCCCAGCATCCTCCCCAGTGGGCTGTGAGTTCCTTCAGAGGACAGACCATTTCTACCTGGTGCTCAGAGGCTCCCCCCACCCCCACCTGATTCTGGTTCTGGATCGGGGGCCACAGTCTGGTGCCCGGGGGTGGCCGCCCACCAATGTCCTCCCCGGGTAGGGTGCTGAGCTCACAGTTCCTGGTCCTGTGTGCGCGGCACCCATCACTGGTGGTCGAGCTGGCTAAGGAGCTGCTGGAGTTCGTGGGGAGTGTGAGCAGCGTCCACAGCAGAGAGGCCATGCTCACGGCTGTGGTAAGGCCGCCCCGCCCCACCCCACCTCTGCCCCTTCCCAAGCCAGGGTGCCTGCAAGAGGGCTGAGGCTCTGTCCCCACCCAGGTGTGGGCTGTCGGCGAGTATCTGTCCGTGTCCTGGGACCGTCGGTGTACCGTGGAGCAGATCAACCGATTCTTTGAGGCCCTTGAGGCCCTGCTCTTCGAAGTCACCCAGTCCCGCCCATCTGCCACCCTTCCCAAGTGCCCCCCACGGGTCATCACGGTGCTCATGACCACACTGACCAAGCTGGCCTCCCGGAGCCAAGACCTGATTCCCAGGTACAGGATGGGGCAGATGGGGGAGACCTGCATGCCACCCCCTGGGGAAGGGGAGATGGCTTTCAGATATCTCCCAGGCCCCCAGGGTCTGCCCATGGCCGGCAGCACGAGGGTGACGTGGACACAAGTGGTGTGGGCAGCATCCTCGTTGCCTCACTTCTCCCAGCCGAAGCCCCACAGCCTGGAGGCCACGGCTGTCCCACGAGGGGTGCATCCACAGCTCACCAACTGGGATCCTTATCCTCAGGGTCTCTCTGTTCCTGTCAAAGATGAGGAGCCTGGCCCAGAACCCAGCCCCGAGCTCCGACCGCTGTGGGGAGGACGCGGGGGCTGTCTGCACACGGGCCGCCGAGCTGCTCACCCTGCTGAAAATGCCCAGCGTGGCCCAGTTCGTGCTCACGCCCAGTGCTGAGGTGTCAGAGCCTCGCTACCACCGTGACACCAACACGGCTCTGCCCCTGGCCCTGCGCACCGTCAGTCGCCTGGTGGAGAAGGAGGCAGGCCTCCTGCTGGGGTGAAGGGATGAAGACCCAGTGGAGGCTGGCTGGGCTGCAGATAAGAGCCCTGTATTAGGGCCAGACTGCGGCTTCCAGAACCAGAGGGCCCTGTCAGGAGGGGTGTGAGACCCAGGGAGGAGCTTGGGGTGGGTCTCAGGGCTGTCCCATGCACACCTTCCTCTGGTTGTGTTTCTCGTGCACTGAGCTGTGCTGAAACAGGTCTGACTCAAGCTCTCACTCCATTTGGGGCTAGATGGGGGCTGCTTGGTCTGTTTCTGGCTGCTCCTTGTTTGGGGGCAAGAAGAGATCCAGCTACAATAAAGGTCTTTTAGAAAGTCCCCGTGTGCACAAAGCAGGGGAGAGGGCCCCATACAGGGGAGTGCACTGGGCTGGGAGGCCTGGCCCAGGGCAGGTGGGGACCCCCCCAGCTGGGGCAGGCACCTGGGGCTGTTCCTTCCCACCTAGTCCCCACAGCAGCCCAGATGCTACGAAAACAGCAGGACTGTGGACAGTCAGGAAGCATGTGACCTTCCCAGAAGTGCAGCCACCACTGGAAGGGCCTTTGCTCAGTATCCTTTCTTAGCCTGTCTTCTGATACTACTGAATGATTAGAGAAACTGCGGCTGGGGCTCTGGGGCTCTTTGGCCTGCAGCCCCCTGCCATCAGGGCAGCACCAACGCAGCAGGGTGCTCGGCCTCGGCCTGACTCCTGCGGGCAGAGCCTGAGACAAAATCCAGGATCGCTCTGGTATTATGCCGCGTGAGGGAGACACGCTGAGTGTGGCAGAGCAAGGAACGGGCCCTGCCCCCTGCCCCAGCAACTCCTGCCCCGCTCCAGCCTTTCACACCAGCTCCCGAGGCTGCCCCTCGGCTCCGGCCGCGCGCACAGGCGCCCGGCACCAGGTGGCGCTCCTGCCCCGCGAGCCCCACGCCCGCCCCGCCGGCTCGGCTCCGGCCCCGGCTCCGGCTCCCGCCCCTGCCGCGGACGCGGGGAGGAGCTGCGGCCGCGGAGGAGGCGGGTGGGCGCCGCGCGGGCGGGACCTGGCGACGGCCGGCGTCTTCCGAGAGGACGCGTGGCGGCCGGCGGAGCGGACCGAGGACGGGCGGAGCAACCCTTGGGCTCCCCGCCCCCGTGGCCCCGGGCGTCCAGGCCGGTGTGCCGAGCCCTCCCTGCCCCAGGCCGACCTCGTGCGGCCCGGGGCCGACTTGAGGATGTCTGTCCGTCCGAGGAGTCCGTTACTTCTGCAGGATGCCTGCGGTGTTTGCCTAAGCTCGGTCTCAAACCTGCGCCAGGGCTGCTTGGTGAGGACAGGTTTCGCGGAGACCCATTTCCCTGCTTCACACGCAGAGGTTTTCTCTGCGGGGCACACTACCAGAGCTCAGACCCCCGGGGGGGCTCCCAAGGGGAGATGGGGTCTCCTGCCACACTCCGGTTGTGGCCTGGGGTGCGGCGCGAACCCCTCCCTGGGCGTCCTGTCCCACGTGCTGGGCCGGCAGCCTGGGGTGTGCTGCGGAGCGGGGCTCGGCCTCTCGCGCTTTGCCACTGCGGAGAGCATCCCCGGCCGGTGCGTGGGGCAGACGTGGACCCCACCTGGAGCTTGGAACCCCCTCCAGCTGCGCTGAGCCGGGTGAGCGATGTCTTCACACACTGAGCGTCCTGTCCCTTCAGAGCGTTAGTATGGCCGTGGCCGACCTAGAGAATCAGGCTGCAAAGCGGAGGGGGCTCTGAGCAGTTGTGGCATGTGAGGCGCCCACCGCTGTGCGCCCAGCCCCTTCCCAGGGCTCCAGCTCCTTGGGAACTTGGGTTTTGTAGGGTCGCCCACTGGGCTCCACGGCTTTGTCTCCTCCACCGCGCACAGCGGTCAGGAACCGAGATCAGTAATTGGGTGAGCCTTAGGCTCCTGCTGGCCCCTCTGAACTTGAGGCCTTGTTTCAATTTGAATTTTCCTTTTTGGTTCAATTGTACATTTAAAGTGAATTTTTAAAAAATACACATCATCCAGCAGTTTCGGATTCAGTAGCTGGCGGCACTTCAAAGCAGGCCAAGCCGTGGCCCCTACCTGAGCCGCCCAGCCAAGGGCCTGCAGCAGGTGCAGGCGCGCCTCTCCCCTACGCTCGCCAGAGGGCAGCATGGAGCTGCGCGAAGCCCAGTGCATGGGACCGACCTAGGACCCCTCTCCCTGTGAGGGGCGCGTTGGCCAGCACCCTTTCTCCCCCAGGTCTCTCTGTGCCTGTTTGAACCCAGCCGTGAGCTCTGCGCTGTGACGACCGCACAAGAGCCATCTGTACATAGGCCACCGCGCTGACCCTGCTGAAGATCCCGAGATGTCCCAGCCCCGCCATCACCAGGACACTGCCACGGCCCTGGCCCTGCGCACCGCCAGCCGCCTGGTGAAGGAGGTGAGCCTCCTGCCAGGGTGAAGGGACGGTGACCCGGTGGACACCCGCCCAGTTGCAGATTAAGAGCCTGGCCTGGTATTAGGGCAAAGCTGCAGCTTCCGTGACCAGAGGGGTGGTCAGGAGGGGCATGAGGCCTAGGGAGGAGCCTGGGTGCCCAGGGGTCAGGGGTTGTCTAGACCCTTTGAACTTTATGCTGTGCATGTGTGATCAGCAGGAGCAGAGGCAGCTACCCCCTCCCCACCACTCTGGGCTTCAGGGCTGGGTGGGGGACAGAGAGTTAGTTAAAACCATATGGGACATCACAAGGATCCTGCGTCCTCCCAGGGGGTCTCCCTCTGGACCCCAGCACAGTGTCCACACTAGCTCCACACACGGCCGCCCTCTCAGAATACGAAAGATAGTTTATTGAATCTATACGTTTCCATTAAAATTTTTAAACATAAAAGCTCTGTAACAAACATCACAACTTAGTGTTATCTGTCATATAAATAAAATATACACTAAGATGTACATTATCCACAACAGGGAACACGGCATGAGCGCGGGAGCAGCAGGGTGGGGAGCACAGGGGCGGCCACCCTAGGGAGGCGGCGTGCGGAAGCGGATCTTCTTGGCTGTTTCCACATCAGACTTGGCAACCAGAAACCGCATCTTCTTTCCCCCGTGTCGGATCAGGTCCACGGCTCTGAAACCCAGCGCAGGGGAAGGAGGATGGTGGAGCGGGGCTCGTGTCATGGGGGCTCCCGGGGGTGCCCAGGATGGGGGCCTACCCTGTGCTGTGACCCAGAAGTGCTCAGAGGGGCCTGTGCTCACACTGCCTGGTCCAGAGCCCACCCCCCAACCTGAGGAGCCCCTGGTGGAGCTGGGGTGTCATCAGAGGTCAAACAAGCAGCTGAGGGCTGAGCCTGGACCTCTACCACAGGGTAAGGATGGGACCTGCTCGTGGGCCTCGGGGTACCCTGGGGCTGCGGCACAAGGCGGTGGTACCTCAGGTAGCTGACGCCCATCAGGCTGCTGCCGTTCACTTCCAGGATGCGGTCTCCCAGGGACAGCCGGCCGTCCGACGCTGCAGGGCTACCCGGGAGCAGGGTCTGGATGTAGAGCCCAGGGGAGCCCAGCGGCGTGTGCTGGGGGGAGAAGCAGCGGCCTCAGGGCGCCGTGGTCTTCAGCATGTCTGTGAGGGCAGGCCTGGACACCATCACAGCCCCCAAGGACCGAGGTGACGCTGCACGCTCTTCCCTCCTCCCAGATTCCTGGGAACTGCCTACGCCCCAAGCCCCTGGTCCCCAGCCCTCCTCTCCTGGGGAGCTCTCACGCTGCGGGCCTGTGCAGAGGGACAACTCACCATCCCGTCGATCAGGCCCATCCCCAGTCCAGAGGGGCCCCGCTCCAGCTCCACCACAAAGACATAGCAGAAGTCCTCGGTGCTGGAGCTGTGGCTGGAGGGGGCGGCAGGGGGCTCGTCCTCATGACCCGCCCCATCTCCTGGGTGGGCAAGGAGACGTGCCACTGTCTACGCTGCCGCAGCAGCCCACCCCAAGCCCAGAGGCAGTGCTCACACAGCTCCTGTCGGGGTGGAGGGTCTGGACTCTGTCTGTGGGCAGTGCCCCCGTGTGCCTTTGGGGCACGTCCACCCCCCCTTGCAGCTTCCCCAGGACACCAGCCCCTGTCAGAGGCTGGCTAGTGCCAGTGGCTGAGCGGTGGGCTCTGCCCACGGTCCCCCCAGGCTCCCTCTCTCCTGCCACAGAACTCTCCTGAGACTCTCCCCAGGCCCCCTGCCCAGTACCAGGACCCCCAGAAAGCCTGCTCTTTCTTGACTGGGGCCACCGTGAGGGTGGAGAGTTGCATCAGTTCTCTCTCCAGGTCAGGTCAGGGCTTCAGGCAGAGCTTGCAGCCCCCATCTCCGCACCGCTGAGGTGTCCTGCCTCCGGCCTGGCTCAGCCTGGCTGTGCCTGTGCTCAGACCACACTCTGGGGTCTGCAGCACTGTCGGGGGCTGTTCTGCCCCATCCAGCCCCTGGGGAGGGGGGCACACATGCCCTGCCTCCTCCCTGCCCCCCTGCCTCACACCTCCTCCCATGTGTCACCTGAGTCGTCACCTGAGCCCACTCTTCCTCCGCCCTGAGTGTGGAGACTCAGTCCCATAGACAGCTGTGTGTGGCCCGGCTGCCCACCCCGTCTGGCGTCCCAGGCTATAGGGTTCCCGGGCAGGTACTAAAAGCCCAGGCCAGACAGGCCCCCGGGACTCATTGGTGGAATGACCCAAAGGAGATCAGCCCAGGTGCCAGCAGGGCTGGGGTACAGGCCCTCACCTTCTGGAGCTGCCCCCCGGGAGCCACTTTGTCCATTCCTCCTCCCTTCCAGGAGCGCTTGCCCACAGGTGCCACCAGGCTCTGGCCAGTCGGGGACAGCGGGCTCGAGGCCGAGTGGGGTGCCGGGAGGTGTGAGCAGGCACGAGGAGTCTGCATGCAGAGGGCCAGCCTGGAGGCCCCCGCGGCTCTGCCTTCCCGGAGGGCCCTGTGCTCGGGGAGCCCCTGAGGAAGGAAGAGCGCGCATCTGGCTGGCTTCACGGGCTCCCCTGGAAACCAGCGGGCAGCTCTGGCCCTCTGGGTGCCCTTCTGGGGTGGTGTGGTGTGGGCCCTGGAGGCAGGGGAGAGGGAGAAAGAGTTCAGGTATTGACAGGCTGACAGGAGGGGCCCAACGTGGTAGGAGAACCAGAGGGGTCTCCCCAGCCTTCTGCAGCCGGGGCTCCACGAGCTGCCCAGGGCAGCAGCCAGGCCCTGTGTTGGACCCAGGTACCTGGAGGTACTCTGGCTGGGACGGCCCACCCCCAGGACTGGGTTTGCTGCGCAGGCTCCACAGGAAGTGGCGGATGTAGAGGAGGTGCTGGTAGATGCTGTCATCCAGGCAATCTGCTTCCAGATCCACCTGGAAGCCCTCACTGGGCAAAACGATAGGCGGGGGGTTTTCATAGGACTCCAGGACATCCTCTGCGGGGGAGGGACACACTGTGACCGGCCTGGCCAAAACAAAACTTCCTGCCCGTTACCAGGCTCACCCGCCACCCCTGCCCAATACTGTAGGGACTAGGGTCACAGCAGTGGGGCATTCAGGCGAAGACAGCTGCCCACACCAGCTCTCAGCCCTTCAGTCCCAGTGACCACCCAGGATGAAGCCCAAGCTCCCAGGGAGGACACGGCCCTGCCAAGTGGAACCTCTGCCTCACCCCCAGCTCCACCCGCCCCTCTGGGCACTCCCGGCCTGTGCTGACTGCATTCCGCATGTGTCACCATGATCCATTAGCTGGTGGCACGTGTCTGTACTAAAACAGGAGCCTGGTCCGACAGCAAGAAGGCCAGCACCCACACAATTTGGGGCTCCTGGCAGAGAGCCCCCCATGCGGCCGGCCTCAGGAGTGAGGAGGGGCCCAGGGTCCCACTCAGACCACTGGCTCCATCCAGGCCAAGGCTCCAGGTGATAGGGGCACAGCAGAACGTCGCCCACAGCCTTATTTCTAGCTGTACTTTCTACCTTCTTTTAATTTCCATCTCTGTATCACGATGTCGTGCAACGAAGAGAGATGGGCATCTATTTGTAAATCACACATATATGCACATACAGAGGCCCATGTCCACTGTGTGGGGCAAGCACACCACCTCCCCCTCAGTGTGGGGACCTGCTCTCCTCCTGGTGGGCGGTGCACCAAGCAAGGCCCCATCCTTGTGCTCCTCTATGGGGAGGGGACCTCCGGCCTGACCCAGAGGTTGGAACTGGGCCATAGACTGTAGACTCTGACATCCAGCTGTGGGATCTCAGAGTCCCTAGGCAGGGGGGACAGACCCAGGCACTCGGGAGGAAGATGGCCCCGGATGCTCTGTGGGGTCCTCTAGGGAAGTCCCCCAGGGAGGCTCCCCTTTGCCCCCAACACAGCCCACAGGACCCCTTGCTCCTGCCCCTGGGATGGCAGCTCACCTGACTTGAAGGCATCAGGGCTGTCCTGGGCACCCGGCTCCCAGGCGCTCATGGGGCCCATGGCCGAGGCCAGCTGGTACTGAGTCAGCAGCCGGTGCAGTTGCGCGGGGCTCAGGGTGGGGAACGCAGCCCGCAGGTTTGCCCAGCTCATCTGGGTGACAAGAAGGAGCTTGTGGTCAAGACCTCTGGGGGGGCACAGCTACACCCCCAGGAGGGTCTTCCAGGCACTCTGTGGGCAGGGGCAGAGGCCTGTAAGGGCTGATGAGGCCAGCAAGGGAGTCAAAGCCCCAGGGGTGGCCATTCCTGGGGGCCAGCAGGCACCACACCGCACGCTCTGTGCCCCCGACATGCCTCTCACCGCATCGTGGCAGGCCCGAGAAGGGAGGGAAGGAGCCCTGGGGACACGGGGCACAGAAACGGGATTCCTGCCTCACGGCATGGAAGAGACGTCGACCCGGCAGCCTCAAGACTCCGTGACGGCACAGCCTTCCACCACCTGGGACCCCCAAGACTGGCTCTGTGGGCACAGGACAGGGAGGCTCCTCCAGGGGGGCTGGCCGCCCAAGCCATGCAGAAAAGAGCAGACTTGTGCACGATGACGTCAAACAGCTTGCATGTCCCCCGGACCACAGTCTCTCCCGCAGCTTCCTGACAGGTGCCCCAAGGACCCCCACTGACCCTGCCCATCGGGGCCGGCCCACGCTCACGCCCTGGGTGGCGCGTGGTGGCTCATTGTCCCCCAGCTCCTGAGGTTGCTCTTCAAAGTTGGAAAACACTCTGTTGGCTAATCTTCGGGATGTGTCCCGTCTTTATTCTTCCAGGAAGTTCACAGATTTCTCACGCCCAAGGTCCCGACATCGTGGCGCTGAGTACCCCCTGCAAGTCGGTCTGGCCGCCGAGCTGCTCAGCCGCAGGCACCTCCAGAAGCTCTGGGTCAGCGGCCCGGGACCTCGGGGTCTGGGCTGCCACTTGCTGCGCGCTCCACTCCTGCTGTTGGGACCTGGGCCTTGTTGGCCGGCGCCCTCCTCCCATCTTGCCCTCGCTCCTCTGCTTCACTGTCTCCCGGGTTTACTGCCAAGAGGCGGGGGCTGCGGTTAGCAGGTGCCTCTGCCAGAGGGACAGCAGTGCCCCGAGGCTCCCGGTGCGGGGGTGGGGGGTGCAGGGCAGCCGCTCGGAGCCCGCAGGCTCTGGAGGCCTCCGGGTGCCTGAGGCAGTGCCCTCTGGCTTTCCCCGTCCCTGGAATCCAGGCTTCGCTGCCCACCCCGCGCTGCGTCCAGGGCTGGGGTCAGGGAGCCACCAGCAGGGACCCAGCACACTCGCGCGTCCATCTTACCCCAGCACAGGGACACTTTCTGGGTGACTTTGTGGACTCTGTCTCCCGATCTTGCCACTGAATCCTTCCTCTCTGCTGTCACGGTTTTAGTTTCCAAGAGTCCTTTTGGTTCTCTTATTTATAGAATCCTATTATTTAACGGACACTAAGTCTTTTTTTATCTTCATGAAGATAAAAATTTTTTTTAAAGTTTCTTCTTCCTGAGAAGTCTGTTTCAGTGGATGTCCAACTATGGCCTGTATTTATAGGGCTCTCAGGCTAAAAGTTCTCACCTTTTTTAAAGGGCTTAACAACAACAGAAGAATTTGGGATGGTGACTATATGTGGCCCGCAAAGCCTACAGTATTGACCACCTGGCCCTTTACAGAGAAGTCTGTCAACCCCTGATCAGTGTCCCCCGACCTCATCTCCTGGCCCTTTACAGAGAAGTCTGTCAACCCCTGATCAGTGTCCCCCGACCTCATCTCCCCGAGCCTGTGTCTCTCGTGTTGGAAGCCACTCACTCCCGTTTCAGCGTGGGTGCTGGGTCTGCCTGGCTGCCTCACGGTGGGACCCAGGTCTGCATCCTCCATCCCCAGCTCCCAGCTGTCACCAACCACCCAGCACCGCTAGGTCAGCCACCTGCTGTGGGGGAGGGCACGGGTCCCAGCCAAGCCGGCAGTGGCACACAGCCTCCAGCACTCAGAAGCCACGTGGCCCCTGAGCAGCCCCCTTTATCAGGGTGAGACTCCTGGTGTCGGACTGACAGCCTGGTTTCCTAGCCTGGACAGCCTTTGTCTTCAGTGCTCTAGAAATGAGCCCTGGTCTTCTGCTGGCAAGTGTGAGGAAAGGGCCAGCACCCGGCTGTGTAGGAAGGGGCAGCAGAGCACCCAGTGTGCCCACTTCGTCCTCTTCCCGTGCATGTCGTGTTGGAAGGACCAAGAACACACGGGAACCGTACACGTCCAAGGTGCCCAACTGCTGTTCACAGAGGGGCCAGCCGGTGCTCCCAGCTGAGGACAGGAGCGGAGAGCAGCCCAGGCCCCACCACTCCCCTGCAGAGCAGCGTCCCGACTCCAATGCTATAGCCGCAGCCGGGCTTCCTCCCTCGGGAGGAAGGTCCTGATGCTGGGACCACAATAATCCCTGCACCCCAGGCCTGACTCTCGCTCACCGACAGTGCTCATGGTTGCCGATGGCCACACATCCACGCCACTGTGCAGAAGCGCACGCCGGTGGATGCACCCCGCTTCGTTCACCCCTTGTGCCACTGAGTGCTTTTGGGGGCTCTCTACACCTGTGACATCCCCGTCTGCATCTGCGAAGTGCAGGCCAAAGCACTTCTTGCTGGAGAACCAGTCAGCTGCCCTGTCTATGAACACTGTTAAATGTGTCCCCCAGTTTTACTGAGATGCAATCATTACTACTCATTTTTAATATAGGGTCGGAATGATGTACCCTTCATTCTGGTATCAGCAATTTGTAATTCCCCACCTTCATTAGACTTTTCAAAGAGCCACTCCTGGCTTTCTGCTCTTCTCTGTTCCCCGTTTACAGATCTTGGGGTTGGAAGGAGCAGGAGCAGCACCTCCTCCTGCTCCAAGATCTGCATCCTCCCCCTCTGTTCTTGGCCTCCTCACGTCTTCCTCAGGAGCCAGCCTCCTCCACTGCACAGGCACTCATCCCCCTTCCTGGCCTCCAAACGTCTCATCTCCACGTTCTCCGTCCCTATGGGCTTATGCCACCAAGAAGCCCAGCTTTGCTTTGGTTCGGTGCCATTGTGGAGGAAGCCAACCACATGCCTGCGTCCCAGCTGTGCTCAGCACCCAGGCGTCCCCAGTTTCTGAATTTTCTCTAGCAAACCCACACTTCACTTTTAGGATAAAAAAAAAATCAAATAACTTCAAAGACACTTGAGCAAGATCTGATCCCCAATACGTGGTAGATTCTCAGTACCTGCTGAGTGATCGCCAGCTGTGGGGCCTAGGCTTAGCCAGCATGAAGCAGTGGTCCCCTGAGGGCAAAGCCAGGTGACAAGCATGAAGTTGGTTACGCCCTGTGGGTGTGCAGCAGACAGCAGCTCCCGCCATTACTAAGAGTGATGGTGATGCAGGCACAGATGAGATTTTCTGAGTTGTGATCCTTGGGTAGAGGCCGAGTACCCCAATTTTATTCCAGACTGAAAGGTCTACGATCCCTGTAGGAACTTCACATGTGCTCCCCTGGATGCTCCCGGCGGCACCAGCCATGCAAACCTCTCCCCATCGTCCCTGTGGCACACTCAGTGCTTTGCCAGGCAGGAAAGGGACACCGCTGGTTTGGTTTCAGTGGTATGGGGGCCAACTGCATGGAGAAGCGACTGAGGGAGAAGGTGAGGAGCTGTGCTAACTTCCTGTTGAGCTTCCAACAAGTGACCACAAATGCACATGCTGACAGTTCAGGGGGTCAGATGTCCAGTGTGCATGGGGCCAAACCCAAGACGCCGGCAGGGCTGTGTCCTCCTTGCTCATTTTGGTTGCCTGAACTCAGTTCCTTGTGACTGTAGAATAGCAGTCCGTTTCTGTGCTGGGCTTCAGCTGAGGGCTGTTCCCACCTTCGGGAGGCTGCTGCACCCCATGTGCATCTTCAGAGGCAGGCAGGCGGTGGAGTCCCTCCTCCTCCTGTCCTCTCTCTGACCCGCTCTTCTGAGCCCACCAGACAAGCCAGGGTAAGCTCTCCATCTCAGGGTCTCTAACCTTAATCACACATTCAGAGCCGCCTGTGCTAGGTGGGGCCAGGGGACTGGACTCAGACCTCTTTGGGGCCTGCCTCTGCCTGCAGGTGGTAGTGGCTGTGGAACAGAAGCAACTCTGCAAGATCTCAGAGGCCCAGAAGCCAGGTCTGGGGCCCACGCCAGGTTTGTAACTGTGCCCCTCCTACCTGGATAAGCTGGGCCCGGGGAGTGGCCAGCAGGTTGAGTGTGCAAGAAAGCTTCCGGAAGAAGCGCTCTCCGGCCTCCCCATAGCCGGCACTCCTCATCCACTCCAGGAGCTGCTGCAGGCGGGCACAGGCCTGGACACCTCTGGGCCAGTGGAAGCAACTGAGAGAGGGGCCTACGAGCAGAGAGGGCAGGTGAACCCAGCTGCTCCTCAGGGGCGTGCTGTCCACCCTCGCCCAAGGAGGTCCCCAACACCCGTACTCCCCGACCCCAAGCCTCTGAGGACAGACCTCATGACCTTACATTGGTCTCCAAGTTACCCAGCCTGCGTCTGGACCCCTCTCTGGGTTGGGTGGGGTAGGCATGGGCGTGAGGAGGCAGGGCAAGGAGGGGCTGTGACAGCCACTGAATCCCAGGTGCAGAGACATGGGCCACACCTACAGCCGAGACCCCTTGCTCCCATCTGGATCCTGCCTGCAGACCCCAAGCAGCCCAGGAAGGCCATGCTGGTGACACAGGTGCGTCACGGGTTCACACCCGCTCTCATCTCCCCATGTCCCAGCAGGACCCCTGGCTGGAAGTAACTGGTGCTCCAAGCCCCTGGCAGTGAGGAGAGCCTGGGGGCCAGCAAGTCAGAGACCACATCACCTCGGAGCCTGTCCACCTTCTCACTGCTGGGGCTGTGTAGGGACAAAATGAGCCAGGAAAGGCCGGTACAGACCCCCACCCCTCCCGCCACCCCGGGGTGTCTGCAGACACAGATGGACATTACTGCTCCCAGAAGTACTCGCTCTGTGACATTAGCTACTCTCCTGGACCTCCACTCCCAGCCCTTCCTGGCACCATCTGGATGCCCGTGGAGCAAAGTGCCTCCTGGAACTGCAGGGAGCAGACGCCACGGTCCTCAGCACTCACCAGCACCTGCGGCTTGGTTCTTACTGCAGGAGTGTGGGTCCCCACCACCCCCGGGCCTCACCCTTGTCCAGGAGCTGGTTGAAGAGCAGAGTGCTGGAGAAGAAGAAGAGGTATGCCAGCACCTGGGAGGCAATCTCAGGGTGCATCTGGAACTGCCGCAGGAGGTCCAGGGTGGCCTGGTACACGGACACGACATGGCGCAGCTCCTCCGGCAGTTGGGGAGCAGAGCACCAGCTCTCCCGGCGCTCTGTCTGGAAAGGGGGGCACTCCAGCAGGGCCGGGAGGCAGACATACAGGGACTAGGGGGAGAGGGAAACACCAGCTGTGGTCTGCAGGGGCCCTGGGGGCCACACAAGCCCTCCCTGCCTGGGCCTGATCACATATCCTGCTCAACAGGCCTCGGCTGTCCCAAGCCAAGGCCAAACCCGCTTATAGGGGCAGATGACACCAGGAGGCCACAGAGCCCCAGCCAAAGGGCTGCTGAGGACAGTCCGCGGGTCTTGAGGGGATGGGGCTCGCCCCTCTTGTTCCATCAGACAAAAGAGTGGTGAGGGGGCAGCTGACTGGCCTGGAGTTCCCCCCAGGACCACACCCCTGGCCCCCGGAGCACCCCTTCCCACAGAGCTGAGCCAGGCACAGCACTGGGGGGCCAAGGCGGTGGTCCTGGTGGAAGATCCAGCAGGAAGGCAGGCCCCTACACTCGTCTTGGGGGCGACGGGGCAGCATCTCTGCTCCCCAGAAACAAGGTGAAAGCTCCGCCTTCCTAGGGGGTCCTCGCTGCCACCACACCTCAAAGTGATCCTGTGATGACCGGTCAAGGGCAACAGGCTTCCCCACTGGGAACCCCAGGGCAGATGTGAGCACATGGTGGGGCGGCCCTTCCTGTTTGGCCAAGATACTGAGGTGGTGTCCTTCTCAACACAGGGCAGCTGGTACTAACTGGCCACGGATGCTTCTCCAACCACTGTCCTCAAAGTGCGGTGTCCAACCAACCCCCCTTGCTTCCCGCTGGAGAGCAGCAGGGGCAGGTTTCATACCCCCATGAAACCCATGCAAGTGAAAATTCAAGTCTTAGCAAGTTGCCTCGGCTCCCCCAGTTGGGGCCCCTCCTCTCTCTGCTCGCCTGCCTACACCCCCCTCCTCCATGTGCTGGGGTAGCAGGGACCCTCCTTACCTGGGGGCTTGAACGCTCTCTCTGTTCACCGCAACAGCCACCAGTGTCCATGGGGCACACAGTCTACCTTCCCAATCACTGCCCAGCAGCCAGCCCTCCTGCTCCCCCACACTGCGGGCCCCTGCACAGTCGGCCGACTCATGGGACAAGGATGACTGAGCCAGAGAGCAGGAGGGGAGGAGCTGGAAGCCAGGGCTCACATGCGCAGAGGCAGCAGTTAGAGCTCACAACCCCCCAATGATGGTGAGAAAAGGGCCTATCTCCCCTTCATGGTCCTCACCCCCTGCCCCAAAGAGCCATGAGGAACACACCCTGCGCAGCGTCTCAGTGAGCCGGCAGCCTGCTGTACCTTGGAGACGTAGTACACGCACTGCTGGAAGGCATACAGGATGACCTCCTCCAGCACCGCCATGGCCTCCTCACTGGCCGTCAGCGTGCAGGAGAACAGGGACTCCTTGGAGCCTGCGGGGAGACAGCAGTTACCACGTGGGGATGTGTCACCTCCGGAGGGCGCTCCCCAAGTCCCGCGCCACGCCTTCCCAGGGCAGCCAGGGAGGAGATGCTGGATGCGACGGCCAGGCCGCGTGCTTCCAGGCCCGTCAGTGCTACAGCTATGCAAAGCACATCTCGAGCTCGTTACTGAATAGATGCCAGACACATTTTCTGTTGGAACCAGTGGCCCAACAATAGATTCTGACCCAATTCCCCTGCAGTCACTTCTCACTCCTGACACAGGTTAAAGGAACACCTAGCCAAAGCTCCGAAGGAGACGGTCACTCCACAGAACTGTAACCTGTTTCCAAGAAGAGAGAAACCCAAATGGTTCTCCCCCCAGCACCTGGGAGAGGCTGCAGGGAAGTTGCTGCTCTGAGACCAGGATTTTCCACAGCCCCACAGAGGGAGGCAGCCTTGGCTGCATGCGGCTCCTCCAGGACAATAGGCCCAGGTGGTTGGGCCTCCCCATGTGAGCTGGCGCTGAGCCTGGGGGCTGCCCAGCGGGGTGGAGGGGGGTATCAGTGGATGCCACATGATTTGTTCCCTCTGGGAGGGGTTCCTGTCAAGGCAAGAGGCCAAACTGGCCACAGGGACCCCAAACCAGAGAACCCCAACAGGGCGGAAATGTTCTGAAGAGGCCTCTAGATCTCAGGAGGCCCGTGGTGTTCCACCAGCACTGAGCAGAGGTGGACACCCTGCCTTTGTCTCCCACTCTCTCAGATCCTCACTTTAGGATCTGCAGCAAGCAGTTCACATGTGTGCGTCCAGTGTAACAGGCACCAGCCCATTCTGCCATGGCCCTTTCGTTACCACACAGTGTGGGCCCCATGACCTAGGACTCTCCTTCCAGGGCTGGAAGAGAGGTGCTGGCTCTGATGGGGCCACCCACTGCTGGACAAACAGAATGGAAATAGTGTGTGAGTCCATCAGACACCCCCATCCCACCCCTACAACCATCTGGATGTGCCACTGATCAAGGCACTTCTCTTTCCAGGGCTTGGGGCTCTCCTGCCCAAGCCCACAGAGCAGCCCCGAAGGGTTCACTCCCCAGGAACCCGCCTGAAGCAGGAACCCAGAGGCCTTTACCACCTGCCCACACTGTGGGGTCTCACTGGGGACCGACCCTGGTGGGGTCTGGCTGCACCTGGCAGCCTCACTGGGCTGCAGAGGAGAGGCAAATCAGGCAACTTTGGGGTCCCTGGGGCTTGGGGTAGTAAGAGGCTCTTAACAGGCTGCTTGGCTGTAGCACCCCAGGCCGACAGAAACATGTAAGGGTGCCCACTGCTGACAGCAAAACCTGCAGACCAAAGGCGACCCACAGCCAAGCAAAGCCAGCAGGAACAGGGCCAAGAAACCAGTTCCAAACCCTTTCCCTGGAGTAGGGCCTGGACGAGAGCAACACACCGCCCTGCAGGCCTCCTACTCATCCAGCCTGTCTGAGAAAGCCCACTTGTACCCCTGTGTGGCAGTCGGGGCTCTGGAGAGAGGAGGGGTGGCAGAAAGAGGCGGCCAGGACCCCACAGAGCACAGCCATGGGGCGGCTCCCCACGGATGCCACACGAATCTCTCAGACATCACTGGCAAACCAGCTGAAACACTTGTGCCCATGGTACAGGCTCTGCTGGAGTGTCCAGCCAAGCTGACACTCACAGGAGCTTTTCAGGGGATCAGGGGCCTGCGCCTGAGGCCCCTAAATCCACAGGTGCTGAGGCAGAGGCAAAGCTCCCGGAGATACTCAGTGGATAAAATCCCCCCTGGCACCCATGGGCCCACCTTCTATCTGCCCAGAGAAGGGAGGCGTCCTGGACAAGAGCTTCAGACAACAAAAATTGTTTGCGGAACGAGAAGGCGATTTTCCAGTGTTCAGGACATGACATCTGTTTTCAGAATTCTTCCCACAGAAATTTCCCGCTGAAGGTCAGGAGGCCGAGACACGGCTCTGACCTTGCCTCTGCCCTTTGGTGATGTTATTTTTCCTCTGAGCTCTCCAGCGCCGGCACCACACAGGACGTCGTTTGTGGGACGGTCAGATCTCGCTGTGGTTTCCCCAGTCTGCATGGTCCACGGTCCCTGGGGTGGATGGAGGCAGGACCCTGGCCATCCACGTACTCCCTCTCCCAGCATCGCCTGGGGGCACAACATCCAGGGCCTGACCAGAAATAACTCCCCCATGAGCAGAGGCAGCAGCTAAGAAAGCAGAGTCCCTGTCAGCCCCAAGTAGCTTTTTAAATGAAAATCTGCCAGACGCACGGTCCCTGGGCTCAGGAGGCAGGCCCAGTGGGGCCCACAGACCACAGCCTCTCAATAGTGTGTGAAACAAGGTCAGATGAGATGGGGCATCAGCAGGACTCACCCACCAACACAGTGCCTAAAAGTCACGGGGCGGGGGGGGGGGCAGTTTTCCCAGCTGACTCTGCCAGAGCCCTAATTGGCAGCACTTCTTGTCAACACCCCTGACCTCACACCTTGCACAGGAGGCCACACTTGCTCAGAGACAAGCCAGAGGCCCGGGAGCTCCCTGGCCGACACCACGTCCAGAGGAGGAGCCCCTCGACTCAGAACAGCTGGGGGGGCCCCAAGGAGACACGTGGGCTGTGGAGAAAGGGGATCATAGGGAGGGCAGGAGGGAGGCCCTGGGTTCTGGGAGCACCAAGCTCAGGACAGCCCAGGATGCTTGGGCAGGGGGTGTGCCCTGGCTTTGGAGACACACAGAGGTCGTTTAGGTCACACTCGGGGAGAAGCCAGGTAACTGGGCTGCTTTAGGCCCAGGCCTTGTGGACAGAGAGAGCAGCCTGTCCTGGGAGGTCTATCTGGATGCCTTGCACAATGTCCACCCAAGGGGAACCAGGACGGGGACAGCAGGTCAGCAGGCCTGAATGTCCACAGGGACGCAGAAGGTTCCAGTGTGTCCCTCTACATATCCACGGAAGCACTGATTCCCAGGCCCTGGGAGCCCAAGAAGCTCTCAATGTCCCTTTCACTGTGAAGTGGGGGGTAAGTACTAAGAAGCCGTGACTGAGGAGAAGGGATGTAGACACACCCACTGGCTCTGCCTCCCCTCACCCCGCCACCTCCCACCAGGCCTCCTGCACAGGCTCTCCACCCCACCGGTCTCCAAAGCTCCAGGGTGGCCGACCTAGCACACAGTAGGACAGTCTGCACCATGCAGACCATCGACTGCCAGGAACCCCTCCTCTCGGGAAATCTGGCCCATCCCAGAGGGGCGGGGATGGAGGCTCAGCAGGGTCTCGCACCCCTGGGCAAGGTCCAGGGCTCCCTGCTACTTGCTTGGGGCTCTTTCTCCCAGAGCCCACGGCTGCCTCCCGGAAGACACCGCTGGGCACAGACCCGGCACAGACCCGGTGCAGCGTCCCGGCACACTAAGCCTATGGGGAGCTGTGGCCAGGCCCCAGCCTGACTGCCTGGCTTCGTTCCCAGCCCCGGTTGGTGCCTTCAGAGGCAGGACCGCCAACCACGCCTGCCCGAAGCTTCCAGTGCCCAAGCCCCACAATGGGGAGGGAGGGAGGTGAGCGGCTGTTCTTGCCACATGGGAGCGAGGCTCATCCACAGGAGGCTGTAGCCCTGGCTCCCTGACTGCCTCACCTCCTTCCCTGCTCCTGTAGGAGCCACAGAGCAGACACAGAACAGCTGAAATCCCACCCAGCCTCAGGGCCCAGCCAGACACCACCCTCTTCAGGAAGCCCCAGGCTGCCCCAGGCAGTCTCTCCCAGCATAGCACATTCTAGCTTGCGCATTCCCTGCAGCTGAGTCCGGAAGCCAGCACATCCCACAATCATACACAGCCCCCAGAGGTACTGTCTCCTCCCTGAAACCAAGGTGCACCCAGTAAAGGACAGCCCCGGCCCGAGGCACTGCACCCTTCCTGCAGGCGCTCTAGGGGGTGCAGCAGGCACACACAGTGGGATGCCTGATTATATAACAGGACATGACGGGGACGAGAGGAGCCGGGTCAGCCCAACTGCCAGCATCAACCCCTCCCAGAGGGAGCCCCAACACCACACCACCTCCCACTGTTCTAGTGGCCGACTCCACCCCAGGCAGTGAGGCGACCGCACTCGCAGCCCGCTCCCCCAAACGGCAGTACCTGTGACGTCCAGCTCCTCCTCCAAGCTCTGCATATAGAGCGGGCACTTCTGCTGGATGAAGTATAGGAGCTCAACTGAGTTGGACATCCAGAAAAGAATGTGCTGCAGGTCTGGCACCAGGCCAGCCATGGAAAAGCTGGCTAGGGAGATGGGCTCCTGGCTGCCAAGACAAAAGACTCAGGGTTACTCCTGGATGGTAACCCAGGGAGGCTAAATGCACCACACTTTGCAAATAAGGCTGTTTGTTCCAACAGGACGCCACCAAAACCCACTGATGTCAGGCTGGGAAAGGGGACGCACAGATAAGTTGTTGGACACATGAGGCCAGAGGCACACATCCTACAAACCTCGCAGGAAGGACAGCCAGTGGCCACAGCCAGCAGTAAAGGACTCATGTAAACTATTTTCACATCTTGTCTTTGGGGATTGAGATAATGAAGGCACGTTGAGAAGAGCGTGTGAAGTGTGTGTATGCATGGGGAGGGAGCAGCCTACGGCTGGTAGGATGAGGAGCAGGAGTGTAGTGTGTTCTTTATGTTAGCATAAGTGACAGAAAAACCAAACAGCAAACAAACAATCTTGGGAGGTGCATGGGCAAGATTAGCTAAGAACTAACTGATCATAGCTAGAAGTAGTTGGAAGATTTAGAGGGCATTGTTAGAAAAAAAAAAAAGAGGCTGCCACTGAGATCTACCGGGTGCTGCTGACACATGCTCCTCACACAGACTCTATCAGGGCCGCTCACTGCAGCTAGTTACATCGGAAAGCCACGAGGCACGGGACTGGAACCCTCCAGTGCCTTCAATGATCCTCATCACAAGCCTGAGGGATGACCAGCCGGGAGTGGAAATGGTCCTAGAGGCACTCCTCCCTCCCAAGCTGGCACCTCGAGGCTCTGAGCTCCCTTTCCAGGGGACGATGACAACGTCAAGGCCACCCTCCTCCAGAGTCCAATGGACTCCAGCCAAGCCCAGATCCACCCTGGCTCCCTCTCCTCACTTCTTGTCTCCCATGCACCAGCCCCTAGGACCCAGGACCTCGTGTCTGTGAGCTGCCCATGGTGACAGGAAGCTCCCAGGCACTGTCCTGAGCCACCTCTCCAGAAGTCTGAGGGTGCATGTGGTGAGGCTGTGCTGAGCTCTGGGAATTCCTCAATTTCCAGCTTCAATGGCTGGTGTTTCTGGGCATGATACTGCATCTCATCCCACTCCCACAGCAGAAGCAGGTCAGCAGGCCGTGCTCTCGTGGCCTCTGAGGATGCCCTGACGCCCAGCGCCCAGAATGTTGTCTTTGGTGCCACCATGACCACACCTAGTGACTCTCCTGACAGGGAGCACGGATCCATTTACAAGCAAATCAAACCATCATGTTGGTGTGACTTGGTTTGGTCTGAGGGGTAGGCTGGGCTGTCTGTCCAACAGTCCCAGGGACTCCTCACCAGAGAAACATCTCTTGCTGGTGCATGGTGATGGGCAGGCCAGGCAACAGCAGGGCAGCTTCAAGGACAGTGCTGTCCCCGGGACCGGCAAAGGCACAGACTCTTTACTCCTGCCTGGTGAGCTGGCAAAAGCCACAGCGGCTTAGGAACTCCCTGTCATTAGTGATGGTCGCACCCAGGGTAGCAGGGAAATAGGTCCACAGGAAAAGCCACAGGCACCCTGCATGGGCCAAGGAGGGGACCTCAAGCTCCGTTTCACACATTCCTCTGATGCCTGCAGGCTTGTTGTTCTCTAGGACTAACTTCACTGCTGTCATGATAATGTGACCTCTCTGTCCTGCTCCCGGGAGGGAAGGAACTGGCTTCAGGCTGGGCCTCCTTGTCTTCACTGCTAGATAGGTCACTGCCCCTGCTGCCACCCGCTCCTCTTGCAGGATCCTGAGTGCTGTTCCTCCAAATCTGTTCCACACACTCGCATCATACACGCATATCCACACAGGCATGAAGAGGTACATGTCAGTGAGAAAGGGATTAATCTGGCCCTTCAGAGCCTAATTCCACTTTGTTTTCGACATTCACTGCCTTCTCAATTTCACCCAGAACTCAAAGGGACAGACAAGCCTCTACTGACAAACAAACCAGCAGTATTGCCAACTGGAGTTTCGGTGTCGAATCCCGGAGAGGTCAGTGCTGATGCACACCTGCCAGCCTCAGGCCACATACCACAGCGCACAAATGAGGTGTGGTGAGGTCCGTCCCATCCCACTCCGATGAGCATTTGCGGGGGGGGGGGGGGGGGGGGGCGGCGGGAACAACTTCATGTATAGCACTCCAAGGTCAAAGGCAATAAAAGCCAAAACAGACAAGTGGGATGACATCATACAGCCAAGCTTCTGCAGACAGAGGAAACCATCACCAGAATGAAAAGGCAATCTACAGAGTGAGAAAAATATTTGCAAACCATCCATCTGAGGGGGTTAATTTCCAAAATCTATAAGGAACTCCTATCACTCAAAAGCAAAAAAAAAAACAAAAACAAAAAAACTAAGCACCTGGTTAAAAAGTGGGTTAAAGGGGATCCCTGGGTGGCTCAGCGGTTTGGCACCTGCCTCTAGCCCAGGGTGCAATCCTAGAGTCTCAGGATCGAGTCCCGCGTCGGGCTCTGGCATGGAGCCTGCTTCTCCCTCTGCCTGTGTCTCTGCCTCTCTCTCTCTCTATCATGAATGAATAAATCTTTAAAAAGAAAAAGTGGGTTAAAGACCTGAAGAGACATTTTTCCAAAGACAACCTCCAGGTGGCCAGCATGAAAAGGTGCCCAGCATCACTCAGCATCTGGGAAACGCAAATCAATACCACAAGGAGAGCTCACCTTACACCTGTCAGAACAGCCGTCATCAAAAAGACGAGATGACAAGTGTCGGTGAGGGTGTCAAGAAACTGGAGCCCTTGTGCTCTGCTGGGGGTGGGGGGGATGCAGAAAGGTGCAGCCACTGCGGAAAACAGGATGGACACTCCTCAAATTAAAAATAGCACTAACATATGATCCAGCAATTAATTCCACTTCTGGGTATTTACCCAAAAGAATTGAAATCAGTATCTCCATGAGATATCCCCACTCCATGTGTTCAGCGCAACACCATTCATGATACGGAAGATCTGGAGTCACACTAAATGTCCACTGAGAGAGGAAATAATAAAGAAAATCTGGTACATAATACAATGAAACATTATTCAGCCTTTAAAAAAAAATCAAGGAAATCCTGCAATATCCTACGACACAGTGAACCTTAGAGATGTTAAGTGAAGTGAAAGAAGCCAATCGCAGAAGGGAAAATATCGCAGGATTCCGCTTAGATGAGATATCTAAAACAGTCCAACTCATGGCCTCAGAGACAGAACGGTGACCTCTGGGGCCAGGCCGGAAAGGGAGAGACCAGAAATTGCCAAGATACACTTCAAAATTTAAAAGAATGGTTCACTTGTTAAGTGTTTTTACCACAATAAAATAAATAAAAATAAATCAAATCAATGGGTGCTCTGATGTAAAAATGTTTAAATCTATTTGGGAAGCATATGGGAAATTATTACTGAAATTATTACTAAAATCAAATGCATTTTTGCTAAGAAAAATTAAAATTTAAGAAGTTCAAAAAACGTTCAAAATAATTCATGAATTAAAAAAAGAAACTAAGAAATTATGCAAGAAAAAGGAAATAATCAATGGAACAGAAATGAAAGAAAAAGCAGAAACAAAATTGGTCCTTTTAAGCAGATGACAACAGACAAATCCCTGGGAAGATAAATCAAAGGGAGGTAAGAGGAAAGATAGAAACCCAAGAGGAATTAAATACGGAGATAATACCACAAATACATGAGAGATGAAAACAGTCCTAAGAGAATAAACTTTTATTCCAGTAAACTTCAAGAACAAAAATAGAAGTCACCGAAATCAACACAAGCAGAAACAGAAAACCAGATATGCCCATACTCACTGAAGAAGTGGGATCAGCAAACCCAGGGGCCACCCAGACACTTTCATGGGCTACTTCTCACACACCCCAGAAACTGAGTCCTTGGCCCACACACCCTGATGCAGGGAATTGGACACAGATAAGGCTGGCCAGCTGGGTTTCTGTGAACCTCACTATTAAAAAAAATATATTTTATTTATTTATTCATGAGAGATAGAGAGAGAGGGGCAGAGACATAGGCAGATGGAGAAGCAAGCTCCTCAAGGGGAGCCCGATGCAGGACTCAATCCCAAGACCCCAGGATCACAACCTGAGCCATAGACAGATGCTCAACCACTGAGCCACCCATGCATCCCTGAACTTTGATATTAAAGTCAGACAAAGACAATGGAAAAAGAATCCTACACCAATTTGACCTATGAATTCGGATGGGAAACGCTAATTAAAATGTCAACACGTGGTAGATCGCCATGCCACACAAATCAGTAGCCATGAAGGGTTTAATCCCAGGGATTCAGCTGTGGTCAGAAAACCTGCAAGCGCAGCACCCACACTCATGGGTTCCCAGGGAAAAGGTGTGACGATCACAGATGCAGGAAAAGCACACAGCGAAGGTCAACAGTCACTGGCAATGTAAAAAGCAGCACCTCACACAAGCACCTGAAGCCCGAGGCAAAAGGTTCATAATGTGAAGTTCAGGTGTGGATCCTTGGGCAACTGATAAGAGTCTGTGCTCTTCTGTATTTTGGAAGGGAGTCACACTTGGATAAAGAGGAGAGGAGAGGGAACATTCCCTGAGGATGGACACAGGCCTGTTAAGTTCTAGAATAAAGACTGGGCAGGAATGCTGAAGGGAAGGCCTCGATTTCCCAGTGATCAGACACTCAGGAGGGCAAGGGCTGCATGAGCCCCTAAAACCTCAGCTGCATCACCTCCCACATGTCCCTACAGCTGGGGGGCAGCCACACTGGCCAGCCCATCACACGGAGGTTCTGTGCAGGTCCCCCCACCTCAGGCAGGCCGGCTGCCACCCTCTGAAGCCAGGGCTGCCCTGTGGGGCCTGGTCCACACGGAGCACTGCCCAGGGAGCGAGCTGGATGGCAGAGCCTGGGCCTCCCCTGCAGCCTCTTGCCCCCAGGCACGAGGCACGTCACTTGTCATCAAACACTTCCTTCCTCAGATGTGGCGCTGGCTTCCTGATGTCAATAGGAGCCGGAGAGCACACATTTATGAGCAGCAGGAATTCCACGCTCCACTTCCAGCCGGGGCAGAACAGCTCGGTGACCCCAGATCCCTGCTGCTCCTGACCCGGCCTCCATCCCTCCCTGTCTGTAGTCCCCCCACTTTTGAAGGCAGTGGTGACCATTCCTCCCTTCTCTGCCTGGGACCATGGCGGATATGTAAGCACACATGTGTGGTGACGGCCTGCTTTACAGACGCCAGGGGCAGAAACACGATCGAAGCAATCCAGGGCGCCAGGTGTGACTTACAGTCCTGGGTGCCCTTTCCTCAAGACAGGCAGTGACTACCCTTTGACATGGCTCTTTGGGGGGTTGCCGCACATGCATGTTCCTTAAGTGGGCCAGCTTGGTGCAGGCTTTACGCCCTTGCACACGTGCAGTCATACTACAGCCACTCCTCCAGGTGCTTCGTCTACTCGGCACTATTTTCAGATTCGGCCATACAGATGCAGTGTGCAGTTCATTCCCTTTCACCATTCGTTGCCAAGTATACACCGCATAAATGCATGGCATGCTGCCACAGGGCACATGGGTGCCCTCGGACCTCTGCGCTTACAGAAGAGGCCTTGAGAGCGCGCCTCCCACCCATTGTGTGAGGACGTCTCTCTACGGGGCCCACATCAGAGGGGGACCAGCGGGTTGGGCACGTGCACGTCTCCACCGTTGATGCCAACCAGCTTCCCGAGGCCCAGCAGCGGTGTGTGAGCATAAACAGCACTTTCTATGAGAAGAGACGAGGGGAATGGAAATGCACTACCCTAGCTCAAAGTTGGGGGTTGTACATTCTCCTAAAGAGGCAGGTTTGCTTTAGCAAAGCCATTACGGTAGGTGAAAGCAGGCCAAGGCTCCAGGGAGCATCTCACCCCCTCGGTCTAACAGATGCTCCAGAGAAACTCCCCAAGCCCAGTGCTTCCCAGGGTGGTGAGCACAGAAGTGGGAATGGTCACTCAGAGACAGGACTGTGTGACAGAAGCCCAGAGCTGACCCCAGCAGTGTCTGGGGGGCCCCCTGGGGGCTTGGCTCCATGGGGAGGTGCAGGTCTCCCAGGAGCTAGGGGCCTAAGTAGGGGCCATACTTACAGCTGTGCCTGCTTCTCCGCCAGTTCTTTGGTTTTCTCCTACAATCAAAAAGACAAAAAAGCGAACCTGAGAAAAAACAGGATACCGCAGGATATGTTCAATGAGACCACCACTAAATTCATGGTATGCCATCCACATAAAAACCACGGCAGTGTCATTGTGGACATCCTGTACTGTGTGGCTGTTTACTGGAAACTAGGCTGGAAAGGATCATTTTCCATCTGATGTGACACCTTTCCATTCCATTCCTGAATATGATCTTCATATTTCCTGCAACAGACAGTTTACAGTTTACACCCAGCTCGCTGACATAACCACTGGCTCTTCAAGAAATAGTAAAGCAGGTCAAATATCCTCCAAATACCAGAAGAATCTACTAATGCTCATCTTGTTAAGCTTTATACATAGCTTTCCACTGTCAGCCACAGGGGTGATGAGTACATGTGTGTGCTTGAGTATTTACAAGCACGTTTAAACATCCCAATGGGGACACGGGTTTAGGCAACCTTTTCTGTCACTTTTAATCAAGAAATGGCTCTTGCTTTAGCAGCAAGTTGTTATCTGGCTAAGCACAGCCCCAGGTGCCGACTCCGTTACTTGTTCTAGGATGTGCTAATCTGCCTCGAGTGTATGGAATAAAGAGCATGGTTGATGCCCAAGAAACAGTGAGACAAACGATATATCCGCAGCTCTTGACAGACCAGGGCTGAGGCTCACAAGCAGCACAGTGGGGAAGCATGCCGGGGATGGCCTGGATCCAGACTCCTCTATTTATGAGCTCCAGACCTTGGGTGAGGTTGTTCACCTCGACAAGCCTCAGTTTCCCTAGCCAGGACATCGGATATGTCATATTGTCTAACTTACTAGGAAGTGTCAGGTCCAGGGCAGACTTAGAACAGTCACAACGCCTAAGCATTAGGCCTTCGGTCACCACAGGCCCCAGTGTGGTCAGGCTCCTGCACTGCACGGATGTCATCTGCCCTGTGCTTGGACCCCACACAGGGATAATACTGACATTGTTCTGCATGAGAACTGTGGTAGGAGGTGGGCTCAGATGCCCATGATGCACACAGATAACTTACACAAACCTCTGGATGTGACAGCCCATGTTGGCTTTTGCTTTTAAAAGGTTTCAAACATTTTAAGTGCAGATTTTAATCTGGGGAATCTCTCTAGTTTACAGGCCAAGATGAATGGGTGTCTCTGAGGGACTGTGTGTAACTGCCAGCTATGCTTCAGGTCCTAGGGAGTCCAGTCACTGGAGGGGCAGGAAGAGATGGAGGAGGGGGGAGTCGAGTGCTGGACCCAGACAGCCTACAGTAGCTCTTGCCCTGACCCTGTAGGGACAGGCTGTCTGTGCCCCCAGGGGACATCTGGCAGTGCCCAGAGCCATTTCCATGAGGGAAGGGCAGCCACTGGCGTGCAGCAAATAGAGCCCAGGGACGCTAGCCAACAGCTGACAGTGCACAGCCTGGCCTCACAACAAGAACTTCTGCCCAAACGTGCATGATACCGTGCTCTAGAGACCCTGATGGAAGGAAGTTTTACAACATAGAGAAGTCAACAGTCCTGCACCCCCACCACCAAGCTGACAGGGGCTCCACGGTGGACTTTTGGCAAGAGGCACAGGGCACTCAAGTCAAATAGGTGCTGAGGGCTTGGGACTCCAGGGCACATCATGGCTGTGCTGGGCCTTGGGGAGGGACATAGGACCAGAGCTCACAATGCCACAGCTGACCCCATGAAGACAAAGTGCCCTTCCCACTCCCCCCCCCCCCCAGGCTTCCTAGGGGTGAACAGGCAGGGAAGGCTGGCCCTCAGAGAGGAGGGACTCCTGAGCTCCCCCAGGTGGCCACAGCCTCCATCCAGCTCCTCCCACAAGCCCCCACTCCCCATCCCACCCCGCCCAAGGGAAGAGCACCCCCATGACTGACCCAGACTGTCTCTCTGATCGCCTTGGCTATCTTGAGCAGGAGCTGCCCAAATGAGCCAGGCTCCAGGCGGGTGGCTGAGTGCTGGATGCAAAGACAAAGGAGGAAGGCAGGGGTGAGCTTGTGGTCGTCCCCACTGGGCTCAATCAGAGTCATGATTCGCTGCAGCAGTGCATCCTCCACTTCGGGCTCAAACTCCAGGTGCAGCAGCCTTGGCCGGGGTGGGGGGACCCGTGTGGAGCCAGAGGTGGAGGCACCCCGGGCCCGGAGCGAGGCGCCACACATCCTGCAGCTCCGCGGCACGGCACGCAGTCGGGCCAGTGCCTGGGCAGGCAGGGGCTGGGCCTGCGCTGGGTCCTTGAACAGCAGCAGGTAGTAGAGGCCGAGGGAGAGCAGGTCCCCATGGCGCAACACCACTGCCCGGCCCCCCACCTCAGAGAAGTTGATGGAGACAGGTGCCCCGGGGATGGGCTCCAGGACCAGCCTGCTCCCTGCTTGCTCTGGGCTGGAAGGCTGGTGCCTGCGGATGGTGCAGTGCAAGGGTAGGATGTCGGGGGCCGAGAGGCTGACACTGGGCTTGCTGGAAGGGGTCCTCTGGCCCACCGTGTGCTGTTCCCGATTGAGCAGGTACACCAGGCTGTCCTGAAATGCAAATACTAGACCTCAGTAGCCACCTTGGGAAAGCCCGTCAGCGGGAAGAAACAAAAAGGTGTCCCAGTCCCTGGTTACCTAAGCCATGCGGCCAGGACCGCCAGCCTGGGCCCGCCCTGCCCTGTAGCCCTTCCGGACCTGCTGCTTGCCCCTAGCCTGTCCCACACCGGACACTCAACCTGTCCCCAGGGGATGAGGCTTCCCAGAGCAGCCTCAGGGGCACACCAGACACCCAAGGATGACTCCAGCTCTCAGACAACGAGGCCAGACCAGGGACAAGCTGGGCACAGACACTGGTTTACAGTCACAGCCAAGTGCCATCAAGCACCCCCCACAGGTGATCGGTACAAGCTGTGTGCAAGCACCCTCCTTTGCGGCTCCAGCTTAGTGAGGCAGATGTCTCCTCATTAGACAGAATAGGGACAGGACTACAGCCTCTCTCAAAACCCTAATGAGATTCAACTATACCATAAAGAAAAAACTTCCTACCAGAAAATTCACGAGCCTGTGTTTCTTGAGCAATATGTCTTAGGAGTGCAGAAAACAGGACGTCAACCTAAAGCAGCTAGTCAGCACCCAGAAAACCTGGCAAGATCCAGGCGACACCAGTCTGCACCACCAGAGACCCCTGATGCTGGCCTCAGAGTGTGTACAACCAGGGGGGTGCCCTCAACTTACCTTTCCCTCATTTAAACTCTAAAAATCACACCCAGGAGTAGAGATAGAACATGCTAGTGAGACATGCAATGAGCGGAAAAGCAGGCTCTCTGAGTACACACGTGCCTAGAAACCCTCACCTTTTCATGCAAATGCCACCCTCTGCCCACCTGTTTCTTCAAGAAACCCTCTCTGACCTCTCTGTGGGTACTCAGCCTGAGAAGTCAGCCTTGTGGTTGAGCATAGGCCCCAGTAAAGCCTCGCCCAGAGCCCTCATCTGGACTCTTGTCAATTCCTACTGCTTGGAAAGCGTAAGGCCAGGTTTGGTATGGCTAACACCTCAGCACCAGAAGCCCCAACACCACACAGCATGCACCTGGCGTGAGCCAGAAGGGAGCTCAGCAGATCTGCACAAGTGAGCAGACAAAGGAGCTTCCAAGGGCTATGCCCCTGCAGACAAGGGCCCCAACAAAAGAGGGAAGTGCCTGACTGGGGGCCCACTCTCCTTTCTGGCCTCCTCAGACAATGCCTCCCATGGTGCCCTCGAGGCCATGTGCTCCTATCTGGACAAGGGGACCCCCTGAGTTGGGGTCCCCAAAGCCAGGGCATGACATGGTCTGAGACACCATCTGGAAGATGGCAGACAATTCTCTGAGAAGGAGCCTGGTACTGAGTGAACCCTGTCCTTGCTGCCTCCTACTGTAGCCTGTACAGAGAATGTCCTGGAAACAAAGCACGGGGGAAGCCTCCACTTCCTCCAGAATCTAGGACGGCCCCCCACAGTGGTCCCCAGCATCCCATTTCTACAGCCTCATTGTCACCAGAGTGACTGCGGCCCACAGAAGTTCACAGCTGACTCAGCTAGCAGCAAGAGGAGGCCTTCTACTCTGAGAACTTCCAGCGGGCCTTCCTGGTCAGCTCTCGGGAGGGCGGCTGGGCCTTCGTGGGGGCACAAGGGGGTGCACTCACATGCTGTTGGCTGTAGCCCTGCAGAAGGAGCAGGTGGGGAGACTCATAGAGTGAGTAGCGCATGGTTTCCTGGCCGCGTTCCTCGGGGCCCGGGGTGGTGGCCGAGCTCAGGCTGCTCTCACTGACAGTGCGGCGCAGCCGGGGTGTAGGGGGGCTCTGGGCACCCTCTGAAGCCAGGGCTGGGGTTCCCTTGGCACGGCTCCGCTGCAGCCTCCGGGCTTGGGCGTTTATCCCTGAAACAGAAGCAGTACAGGGTAAACAAAGCCTAATAAATGAGGCCCACCTCTGGGTCCTTCTGAATTTAGATCTCATGGACCCACTTCTAACACTGGTCACTGTTTTGTCAACAGATGTGGAGAAGATCAGAGGACTCCACCCTCTGATCCCAACCTGGCAAGGCTGGGCCACCTCTGGACCCCCCTTGAAAAGCAGGCAGCCCGGCTGTTCACGTCTGGAGGAGCCCTACAAGGAGCCCCATCACCCACCCAACAGCCTCGCCACAGCCCCTCCCTCTGGATGACAAATGGCACTGCAGCATTGACTTCTGCCAGGGTCACCGTGCCAGGGGCTCCTGGTGCGTCACTGCACTGTGCCCAGAGCCCTGCTGGCCCACCTGTGTTTGTGTGTGTGTGCGTATGCGTGTGCCTGTGCGTGGGGGGGGAGGCGGTGCATGTGTCCGTGTGCATGCATGCGTGCTGTGATCAAATGAGACGAGACCTATTCACAGCCCCCTGGCCCTCCCCCATTTACAAGTAGGAAGCGGTCCGTTTGCCCTCTGAGCCGGCTGGTCTCTGTCTAGGACAGCACGACTGTCCCTCCCAAGGATGCCCCGCCACGGCCAGGTCGGAAAGCACACACATGCACACGCCCAGAGCACGCCCACAAGCACGCCCACACAGGCGCACACGCAAACCCATGCACACGCAAACATGCCCATGTATACACGCAGGCACACACATACACATATGTCCCCCTGCCTGGGCCGTGAAAGACAGTCTTCCATGCCCAGGAAGCAGTCTTTTAAACTAACGCTGCTGGAAAGCCGGAAAGCCAAGCCGAGAAGCCAGATGGAGCCCAGGAGGCCGATCTCCTGTCACTCCCAACAGGGCTGACCCCAGCGCTTTCTTTCTGAGCCTTCTGCTGACTCCCCTCTCCACAGCCTCCATCCACCCCCATCTGCAGCCTCCCTTCCTACAACCATTCCACCCAGACCAGACAAAGCCAGGGCAAAGGAGGGAAGCTAGCTGGAGCAAGGGTGCTCCCTTACCAGAGACCTGCCCTTCCAGGAGGAAGCCCGCTCTTCTGTAGCCACAGGGGGCTGGGTCTGCAGGAGGCCGGGCTGGCGGAGGAGCTGCAGTGCAAGGCAGTCCTCCTGGGCGCCTGCTGCTCCCCACCCGCCTGCTGCAGAGCCGGCCAGACACTGGCAGGCAGGAGCAGTCTAGGGCATGGGGGAGGTAGGGCGGGGAGCAGAGGAGGAGGGGGGAGGAGAGTAGGGTCAGGGGGCAGGTCAGGATGGGGAGAGTAAGGGGGAGGTAGTAGCAGGAGGAGGAAGGAGGGGAGCAGGTGGGATGGGCAGGAGGGAGCAGGTGGGGGGAAGAAGGGGGAAAGGCAGGGGCTGCCAGGGAGTATGGGAGGGGCAGAAGGAAGTGTGGGCCAAGTGGGGCCCAGAGGGATGGGGGGAACATAGAGGGGGAGCAAGTAGGGGCTGGGGGAGGTGGCAGATGGAAGCCAGCTTCCTGCCACTGTACCCCACCCCCACCTGCCCTGTCCCACCTGCTACTCTATAGCAGCACTGTACAACCATGCGGCCGTGCCTGAAAGAAGAAACATTTAAAAACCAGTCCAAAATGATGTTCTAGCCTCCAAGCTTTTCCTCCATCTAGGGCGGAGCCATGGGCCAAGATAAGCCTCAGAACTACTTCCCAGAACTCCAAAGCCTTCCAGAGAAAAGGGGGTCCTTTCCTCTTAGATTCTCAGGGGCCCCCCAGATGAAGCCTGAGAGACCAAGGTAAGTGTCCCCTGGACTGCAGCCCCACAAGGGAGCTCACCGCCAAGTAGGCCCCACTGCAGTTGGGCTCCTACCCCAGCAGACAGCCCTCCCAGTGCCCAGGGCTGGCTTCCCTGACCCCACTGTGGAAAGCAGTGGTTCTCACCCTGCCTGTGCTCAGACGCTCCTGGGGAGTTTTAGTTTTGTTGTTGTTGTTGTTTAATTTTTATTTATTTATGATAGTCACACAGAGAGAGAGAAAGAGAGAGAGAGAGAGAGAGAGAGGCAGAGACATAGGCAGAGGGAGAAGCAGGCTCCATGCACCGGGAGCCTGACATGGGACTCGATCCCGGGTTTCCAGGATCGCACCCTGGGCCAAAGGCAGGCGCCAAACCGCTGCGCCACTCCTGGGGAGTTTTAAATACTGCAGCTTGGTCGGCTTCCAGGTCTCCTTACTGGGTCTTCGGACAGCCACGTGAACACCAAAGGGCCAGGGCTGAGGAGCAGTGGCTCAGAGGCCAGGCCATCAGAAGTGACGTGCCCACGGCCAGCACGGCTCAGGTGCAGAGTAACCCAGAGCACCCAGAGAATGCAATTCTGACATGACCCCATGTTCACCCTGCAGGTGGCACAGCCAGAAGGACCCTCACACATGCATGGACACTGAACGGGCCATGTTACCCTCTGTGGGACCTGTGTGTTCATAGGATGAAGATGCTATAGGGGGAAAAGTGGGGGCCAAGTATGCACCCAGAGGTGGGGGGAAAGCAGACTGGAGTATAATAGGTAAGGTAGGATGCCAACTGTTTACATGTTTCAAAAGCACATAAAACATCACTGCATGTTGCTCATGGTTTACCTATGTGTGCATGTGAGGCTACGTTTAAAAACGAATAGAAAAGGCACACAGTAAATTCAAGAAATGGCTGTGTTCCAGGTGGGGAGCATGGAGTCTGAGGATGCATATAACATAGCACAACTGACAGGACACGATAATGCCCCAGACTGTATCTTTATACATAATGTCGTATATGGTGTTTTATTTTTGTTTAAGAAAACTCTAAATCAACACAATTTTTAAAAAAGAGTTATGTCAATTCTGGGAGGAAGGTCTTTATACTTCTACTTCTTTAAACTTTCTTAAAATAAAAAAAAAAATCATAAACACTGTGGAGACCTCCCCAGGCTGTGAACATGGTTTCCCTGCAGCGGGGTGTGGAGTTTCAGGGCCTGATGAGGCCCCCAGAGATGCGCCCCAGCCCCGCCCCCACTGAGCAGCAGGACCCGTGGTTTCCAGAGGGCTTCTAAGGACAGCCACCTTCCCTGCTGATGTCTGATTTCACTTCAGCTTTGCCGTCATCAGATTCATGCATCTGAGCAGCACGCAAAACCAGGACAGATCTGCCAAACTCGGAAACTACGTTCCCAGTTCTGGGTGGGGATGCCAGGTGGCTCACAGCTGGGCAAAATCCTGGCCAGACGCACCCCAGTAACCTCCAAAGGCCTGGCGTGTGCCGGTGGCCTGTGCGGCACAGGCGTTTTCGAGGCACTCTGCCCTTGGGCCCCTGCCACCTGTGATGCGGCTGAGGAGCCAGGGCACGGGGGCCACTGAGTCTGGGGCCTAGTGGTTGAGTCTCTGCCAAGAGCATGCTGGCCCAGCGGCCAGCCTCCCACCAGTCTGGGATTTCATTCACATGGGGGAGACTGAATGGCAAATCACTGCTCTTCAGCAGTGAGTTCTAATGAAATAAAAGGGCCACAGCGTCCACATCTTCCATGGCACAGGGACTCAGGTAGAAAGCTATTCATCCTATGGAAGAGCGCCAAGCCTCGCCCGTGGGTGAAGGAAATGCACTCCAAGGCTGGGAAGCCAAAATAGGCCCACTCTCCTATCACACCCATTCCCCACCTCTCCCAAGATGGGCCAGATGCCCTGATCCCACACATTTTCCTGCTATGGTGCAACTGAGCTCATTGGGGCCAGAGATTTTGGCCTGACTCTGCATCCCTGAGGGACACTCAGGAATCTGTACTTTATAAAAATGCCCAGAAGGTTCTATAACACAGCAGACAGGCACAGGAACTCCTGTTGAGAATTTGTCCCCCTCCTTTGTCCGCAAAGCACTGTCTACAGAAATACACTGAGCACTTGGTAAACTTACTTGAGCACCTACCAATTTAACTTGAGTTTGGGATTTCCAATTCTTTTCTCTAGATGAATGTATTTATTTGTCAGCTCCTAGAAAGGTGGCAGATATGGAGCTCCCCGCTCCACCCTTACATACCTGCCCTGGTGGAAAAGCAGAAACACATTCAGCAGAGGAGCAAAAGTGAGGGTCTAGGTAATCTGAACCTGGGGAGGCTTCTGTGCTTCCCCAGGGCACACACAAGGGACCTACCATTGTATTCCCACCCAGTGACACATACAGGACCTACTTTGTCATGTTCTCACTCCAAGGACACACACATGGGACCCACAATGCCACCTAACACTTGCTAATACACATGGGCACCAGACCCAGAAGCAAAATGATTACTTTCCACATTCTAAAAGGATAATGAACTTCAGGAGATTCTGAAGTAACAGGAATCACAGACCCTGATGGGATGGATGTGCAGGGTCCAGTCTGCCTCTCCTGAATTGTTTGCCTCTGACGCGGGAATTGGTAAGGGTGCCCTGACCTGCAGAAGGTGTGACCGTGATCGAGACAGTGAGAGAATGCCAATGTCCATTCATAGTGGCCACGTTTACAGAAAGGAGCTCACTTTCCCTGGCCACTGGCTCTTGCTAGCTCCCTCACCTGCCCAGAAACCCACAAGCATGCGGCTCTCTGCAGGGCAGGGAGCCCTGGTTCTTCCCCTACTGGCTCAGACACTCCTGGGAAGGAAGAGGTGGGGGTGACACCCTGGGTCACATGGCTCTTTAACATTCAACCCCCTCCTCCCACCACAGCAGGTTGGTACAGATGTCCCCTCTGCTGGTGGAGAGGAGAGGACTCTGAGCATACCAGGGGTGGTAAAATTAATTTTGAAAACAGTTGGTAGCTGTCAACCAGAGCTCCAGTCATGGGCCCAGTGCTGGCTCCAGAACAGCACTGGAAAGAAAAACACAGCTCTTTCCTGAACGTCACTAAGTTCAGGACAATAAATTTAACCTGCAGGATTTACCTCCGAATCCTGTTTGCTCTTCCCTCCTGGACTCTGAGAGTTTGAAACAGTATGTACAACTTGGAAACTTTTGTGTTG